TGCAGGTCTCTGCATATTCCCGCAGTGTTCTCTGTACGCATGTCTCAGAACTAAACCCAAAGCCATCAGCAATACATATCTAGTCAAGACACTAGTGTATATGATCTGACCTTTACATTGCTTAGCTGCATGTTGGTAATGATCCGCAGCCCCATTCCCATAATGATTAGCACCCAACGGTTGATTGACACTTCCGCCACGGAATGTAACCCAAGACTACATGCATGCGTTGGTTCGTAATGGCCTCGACAGGGATGCAGTGGAAACCCCTCATCAACCAACATACGAGCGGTCTGTTGTTACTTTTTAATCCCTCTTTTAGTTTTCGACGGCGCCAAGTTTAATCTCAATCCGACACTTTTAGCATATCCGGTGCGAATATTGTACGAAAATGTCGTCCCCAAAGTCGCAAAAGTCTAGGTCTCCTACCAAGTCACCTCCGGGACCCCAATCCCCTGCTGCGGTGGGCCAGGTCGCTGAAGAGCAAGCGGCAATTGAAGTTGTATGATCAGGCAATGATATTTCTGGCGCGATTGGATACTGATGAGAGCCTTGGGTAACAGGATGATGATTCGGATTCTTCTTACTCGAAATCGTGAGTCAACATCAGTCCTCAGGCTTTCAGTATCATTGATAGGACTGTAGCACCGGCATTACGGATACCGAGTCCCTCCGTTCGTCGATTATGGCATTCAAGTGGGAAAATGGACGTCGATACCACGCATACCAAGATGGGTCGTATTGGTGAGTTATCAAAGGCGCATTCTCTCTGGTGTTCTAGTCGACTTACAAGGTTTTTTCAAGGGCTCCCAATGATGATCGTCAACAAGAAGCCGAAGACTTGATGTACGGAAAACATGGATGACAAGTACTTTTAACCTTCTGACACGTTCCAACAGGCACGAGGTGTACAGAATCATCCTCGGCAATTCGCTATACGAAGCACCCATTGGCGACAACCCTCAGGTAAGCAACACCCCGAAATGTATCAACGTCCTCTAACTGAGAGGTAGAAAGTCCTTGACATAGGATGTGGAACTGGTATCTGGGCAATGTGAGTCCACATAGGCGAAGCCTGTTTGTAATGATAAGACTAACAAAGTCAGTGAGTTCGCTGACGAGCATCCTTCGGCTGATGTTCTCGGCGTCGACCTTTCTCCCATCCAGCCAAGCTTTGTGCCTCCCAACTGCAGATTCGAGGTTGACGATATCACAAATGAATGGACTTATCCCGAAGACACCTTTGACTTCATCCATGCTCGCTCAATGATTGGCTGTCTTCCCGACTGGACCGAGTTTTACCGCAAGGCATTCAAGTACGTTTACTGTTGAAAGCGATATGAGCTGCTTCTGAATTCTGTAGGCATACTAAGCCTGGTGGCTGGGTGGAGAGCGTTGAGCTTTGGGGCAACTCAAAGTGTGACGACGATACCCTGAAGCCTGAGTCACCGCTACATAAGTGGGTAGAGGTTTTCAAGAAGATTGAATCTCTGACAGGCAAATCCTTCTTCTGGGATGACAAGATGCAGCAGTCCATCTCTGATGCAGGATTCATCAATGTTTCGGGTCGAAGGATCAAGGTACCTATTGGAACTTGGCCGAAGGACAAGACTCTCAAGCAGTGGGGTGCTTGGAATCGCCATTTCCTTCTTCAAGGCCTCGAGGGTTTCTCGATCCGTGGCTTGACGGAAATGCTGGGCGTAAGTTTGAGCAGATGCCGGATCATCTGGGAAATTCGCTAATGGGGCTAGTGGAAATATGAAGATGCTCAACTGTTCTTGGCCGATATGCGCAAAGAATTGACCAACCCAGCTCTGCATGCGTATCTTGATGTGTAAGTCGAGATTGGCTTTGAAAGATCGAAAACATATACTGACCTAGTTCTGGACGCAGTACTGTATTTTATGGACAGAAACCCGAGGCTTGAAATGCTAGTGAAACACATGAATGCTTCATGGGAATCTTGTCGAGATTACGGGTGCAAAGACAAAAGACTGGATGGTGAGCGAACGTCTAGTGAAGTGAAGTAGAATGGAGTGAGGTTTTTGCCTCAGGCAGGAATCCCGAGGTTGGCCCCACCATGCAATGTCAACATCAACAGCTTGACCTACAATGAATATTTAAATCTAGAACGAAATGAAAAGTACGTACGTATCATGGCAACAGAAGACAGGTTATTCGAATGGATTGAAGATATACCCCAGATCTATTCCCATAAACTCTCGCAAGATATGGATAAACCAGAGTCAGCACCAACATCACCAACCCGCGAACGCAAGGGCAACAACTCAGTACAAGCGCAGGAGCTAAGCCCACTCTCATCACTCTCGATACTCGGTATGGACAATGAGAGCCCCCAAACACCCACTAATAAGAGGAAATGACTACACACACACGAAGATGCAGATCTCGGGCCAACCCTAGCCAGTCAAAGCATCATCGCCCGTCAGCTCCAGCGCTTCTGGTCGCACTCGCTCTACATCGCCGTTGAAGAGATAATTTCTGGAACTTCGTCTTGAAGAGGGAGGTTTGGAGACCGAAGCACTCAACGTTAATGTTCTTATAGCACTTCCGAATACAGAGGCAGCTTCTCTGTTGCGCACCATGCGACGCATCGGTAATTGCAAAGGCATCCTGCCCCAAGATATGCGCGACCAAGTTGTACAAAGCCACAGTATAAAACAAGACGACCTAGACGACTGGGACTCGGCTTTCAAAGATTCGAGTGCCTTTGCTCACCTTCCTGGTCGTATTCCATCAGCCAGAGAGATCGAGTTGGTCTGCAGCTGGACCACAGACTGCATTGATTCCAAGCATGAAGAGGCTGGCTGGAACGACGAGGTTCATTTTCGTTTGCTACAAGCAAGTTTCAGGGAGCCAGGGGAGAAAATTGGAGGACTCTTTCACATTACTACCAGGCAAGCAGCCCATTCATTTGCCTGTCTTGATTTAATCCCTTGCTGACTCGTTGCAACAGTTATACGGCTCGTCCACACAAGAACTGGCTGCCAAGGTCAATTAGCTCCAAGATGGTTGAGTTTTGCGTCTACGCTGACTCAAAACAACAAAACAATGAGACAGTTAAGTCCTACGAGGATTTCTGTCGCACAACCCCAACCAGATCCGTCAACCATACCGACTTTCAACGGTTACAGACGCATCCGATATTGCTGGGCATTGACACAAAGGCAGGAAGCAATTCCGATGCAGCTGAGCTACAGGTGGGAGTCTGGCAGGCCGCTCAATGGGCATTCCTCAGGTCGTCGCTATCTCGGGCGCTGGGCGGTGAAAGCTCGATTGACCAGCAGAAAAAACGAGCGGACGACGCCTTATCACGGTTGCAGTTTATCCCCGCTGTCATTGTCCAGGGACATAGATGGCTCCTCGTTTTATCAACGCGCCAAGGCCAAAAGACGACACTGTGGAAGAGATACCAATTCGGTAGTACTTCTACAGTCGTGGAAACTTATCAAATTGTGGCGGGACTGAGGCAGTTGGCTGCCTGGGCCGACCATGCTTATCTGCCGTGGTTTATAGGGAAATTTTACATATTGTATAAATGAGATAAGAACATCTTCTGCCTACAAGTAGTGAGGACTTATCAGTAAATAAATAAAGTATTATCCTTTTAATGAAGTATTTCTTATTAACTATACAAGCCATTACAGCCATTCTGGCATCACGGATTTGTGATCGATGAGGAAAAAGGAACACAAGTAGACTTGGGCCTCATCCGAGTTCCCATGGTTGCTTCACTCACCAGTGGCCGTGTCTCTTTTAAATGCCTTGTCTTACCCGTTGATCCTGTACTTAAAATGGCCGGCGTAACTCCTTGGTTGTGATTCGCGCAACGCTTGCCCGTGCAGTTCCTGATTTAGTAGGATCTGCAGGAGGTGGGCATACAGCCCGACAATGGCGCCAAGTGCTTCCGCTTCTCCGTGAAACGGATTTCGAGTGATATTTCTGCCGCGTGGACCCTGCAGAGTCATTGAGCTCTCAGAACAATGTCCTGCGGATCTGCAGACTTGTTTATTGGCACCGCTGGGCTCTTCTTTCCCTGGCCCGAAGAAGTCTGGATATGGCTAAAGGCCTTTGGTGATAACTGTGTCTGCTCTATACTGAAGCACGACAAGGAGGAAAGAGAACTGATTTGTCTTTATGTTAAGACTTTATAACTTTTAAGTTTAAGCTAAGTTATACTTTCACCTTTATTTTCACTTAAAGCTAAGATCTTAAATTAGCACAGACAGACAGAACTTAGTTAAAGTTTAAGCTTATAATCTTAGAGAGAAGTCAAGACAACACAGTATGTAATTACTAAGGTATTAATTTCTTAAACTGGTTACAGAGCCAAAAACACGCCGTGCTACTAGTTACTGATCTCTAAATCTGTGGTTTAACACGTCTATGTACTACTTGTGTGCTGAATTCCATTGTGTTTTCTGTCCTCGATGTATATGACACCAGAACTGCTAATTTTGCAGATGCGATAATCGATGTGGCGTAGAGTGAAGAGAAGATTAGAAAGGTGGGAGGCATATGACCTATGTCTTATTGGGGTGAAACAGAGAGATCGGGGAAAGTACTGCCGAATTGCCGTACTCCACGATCCATACGGGATGTGTCCCGTATTGAGACGAGGTGGTCTGTGACGTTTTGACCCCTTTCGAAGCGAATGCTGTTGATCCTCCATGCCCCCACACAGCCCCCGCCTTTTTCGTTTCGAGCTCGCCAATGAAGTGTAGGAGGAACCGGATTTCGGCTTTCAGACGCTGAGATGCATCGTGCTCGGACTTTGAGAGAGCCGACCTTGCACCGTGTCCTGCATCTCCTTGGACAAGACGAGGGCCCAAGTCAAAGACATGTTTCATCGGAACCGGCAAGTATTCCGGTCTCGCCAACGGTTATAGCAAATTGACTATAGATTCCCTTGTCTATAAATACAACGATCTGCAACTGCCCAGTCTTGGAAGAAACCAACCGAGTGAAGACAAACAAAGATGATTTTATCTCCTAACGTCACTGTTCTCTTCCCGGCATATGTGCTGGCGGCCGTATGTCCCGTTTATTTTGCTTATGACCTTGACTCGAAATAACAAAAACAATAGGTTCTAATCGGGTTGGTGGTGAAAGGTATTTACAATGTCTTTTTCCACCCGCTTCGCTCATATCCTGGACCCTTTTTGGCCCGTGCAACACGTCTGTACCAGATCTACTGGGATCTCCAAGGTGTGATGCACACCAAAACCAAGGAATTGCACGATCAGTACGGCGGAACCGTCCGTATTGCACCGGACGAACTCTCGTACAATACAGCTCAAGCATGGAGAGATATTTGCGGTAAGATACATGACCCTGTCCTGTTAGAGCCATAAGCTAACCTTGGTCACTGTCGCTGTTCAGGCCACCGCACCAAAGGTCGAGTTGGCAGCTTTGAAAAAGACCGATCCTTCTTCAACCAAACAGTCAATGGCGCCGATCATATCCAGATAGCTGGCGATAATGACCATCGGCGAATGCGACGTCTTCAGTCGCATGCATTCTCGGAAAAGGCGCTCCGCAGTCAGGAGGACCTGCTACAGAAGTACGCCGATCTTCTGATGCAGCAGCTCCACGAGCGGGCAGCCAACCCGACCACGGCCATCGTGGACATGGTCAGATGGTTCAACTTCACCACCTTTGACGTGATCGGAGACCTCGCTTTCGGTGAGTCTTTTGGGTGTCTGGAAGAAGGTATCTTGCACAGGTGGATCACTGGCATCTTCTCCTTGGTCCGCAGTGGGAACTGGATCCGAGCGGCTCGGAGGTTCCCTCCGCCGCTGAACTATCTCGGCAAGATGTTAATTCCCCGCCATCTCCTCGAAGAACGCAAGTATCAATTCATTTTCAGCCGAGATAAAGTTAATAGGCGAGTCGAGCAAGACACTGATCGGAGTGATTTCAGTAAGCTTTTTCCTTACTTTTAGACAAAAGCTAATATTCTCTAAAAGTGTCTTATATACTACAGGCGAATGACGAGAAGGGTATGAGTATCGACGAGCTTTACGTAGGAGCCTCATTCCTGATTATCGCTGGAAGTGAAACCACCGCCACACTACTCTCTGGAGCAACCTATCTGCTATTAACAAATCCACCAATCCTCGAGACACTCAAACAGGAGATCCGTTCATCGTTTACCGATGAGGCAGACATCAACCTCCAGAATACAGCCCCACTGACCTATCTGAACGCCGTGCTAGAGGAATCACTACGCATGTATCCGCCTGTGCCCAGCACCTTCCCGCGCCAGACTCCGTTGTCTGGAGAAATAATCTGCGGTCAGTTCGTCAAGGGCGGAACATCGGTCGGAATCCACCAATGGGCCACCTTCCGGTCGGCGGAGAATTTCCACGACCCGGATGTGTTTCACCCGGAGCGCTGGTTGGGCGACCCTCGATTTGCTGCGGATCAGAAGGACGCGTTTCAACCTTTCTCTCACGGTGCCCGCAACTGCCTTGGAAAAAAGTAAGTCCTTGCCTTCCCCTTGCAACTTGAAAGAAATAGATAGGTTTCGTGGAGAAAGATTCTAACCGGGAAAAGTCTGGCATATGCCGAGATGCGTCTTATCCTCGCCCGGCTGCTGTGGAACTTTGATCTTGAGCTGCAACCCAAATGCAAGAATTGGATTGCAGATCAAAAGACGTATTCCCTGTGGCAAAAGGTTAACTTGGATGTGAAGCTTGTGCCTGTGAAGAGATAGGGATGCGTTATGCACTGTGGATCTTACAACAGCTTGCAGATTCATGTGAAGGATTCTAAGCAGATACTAGGATCAAAATTGAATGGTATCAATGGGTATTCTTGCTCTTTTGCGGCCTAGGGTATTATACTGTATTTACACACTCCAGTATTGAAGCATATTTATCAAATCATTCTCCTTACATGACTCAGATCAAGCAGTGATGTTCACACGTCCTCTCTATCAGCTCCTCTACTCGCCTACCCAATGAATCACAGTGGATTTTGACACCATCATGGACTTTCTATACACTGAATTGGTCTCAATACTCCTCAATGCCTTCAATCACGGACTTGATGGTGCCTGGAGACCCCTTTTATGACCAGCCAATTAACAGACCAGTATATGAAGGACCCGTGAGTCGGCAAGACGGAAAGGAAGATGGACAACAAACTCGCATATTTGTACGGGCTCGATTCCGTATCTGAGCAAACCTACCGCAAACCTTTTGATCAATCAGTTGTCAACCTGGCATCATCGCCGCCAATATGGTAGGAACGATCTACGCAATGATGGAAACCCATTTTATGGCAAAGACGACGCAGGCTGAACCACCAAAAGCGGATATCTTCAAGAAGCATAGATACGCACGAAGATCAGCTCACGAATACGATGCAAAAGCCAAGCTACTCAAGTTCCAAGTTTATGACAACTTCGATAACGCAACCAAGGTGAAGGATGAACTGTGGGATCTGTTACGAAAAGAGAAGATCTTGGAGAAGTGGGATGTTCAGGGGGTATTTCTCATGGCCAGCATGGGAGAGGTTTTCGATTGTTTGGACGACGAACGATTGCTCAAGGTTTTCATCATGCCGACTTTGGAGGAGTTTCTCGATCGTCTCTTTCCCTTCACCGCGAGTGTTTCATCCAAAGAGACAACTATCGGGCAAAACCTCAACTTCCTCAACCGAAGTGATTAGGACGATATTTTGAAGTAGGAGGAAAGAATACTACATATTATTCGGCATGGTTGCGATTGGCTTTCCATTTCTCTTGTCGAAGACGACTTGGGCACGAGAAATCTTGCTGAATACGGATGTTCCATAACCTGGCTGAGATTCTAGCGTAATGCAAAGGAGAGACAGAGCACATCCACGGAAGGAGTAAATAATTCCGCTTGAGCCGGAGGAGTGCTGATAGATTCCTTCATCACTCTGAAGAAATCGCTGCAATAATTGCAGGGGCAGTGAAGCGCTTCAATTCAACGCTGTTATACTCATCTCTATATTCATGAATCAGTATTAAGATTCCTTAGTGTGATGGGAGCTTTCACTGAACGTGCTGTTGATTCTTTGAATCACAGTGGCGTCGAAAGTTCCTTAGTCAACCTGGCTTTTGGTGCTTCACTATCCGTCTTTGACAAGTTCTGTCACTGTTCTTGGACCGACCACGTCCATCCGACGAACAAAACTTCTCGCGGTGCCTATATAAATGTGCTGGGTTCCATGTGTGTCGAGGCATTTGGAAAAGGTCGTGTAGTAACTCATTCAAACACGCGCGAACACAGCCCCCCAGCATAACCTTTTGTTTTCATCCTCGCACAAAGAAACATATTCTACACGATGCTAGCCCCAGCCCCGCGCCTGATTCAACTAGAAGCCCACTTCATGCCCTACCAAACAAAGTCCGAGGTACCGAAAAAAGATGCTTTCGCTAAGGCTTGTGGCGCAACGCTTTACGGGCAGATGTATGACCCTCAAACCGGGTTACTTAAATTCACTCTCTTTTACACTGTCAATTCACCCATGAAATCCCCTAGAAAGTCAAAGGAGTTCCTTTGGGGAGTTCTTGAGAAGATGGGCGTCTTTAATGGCTGGTACTACTATCGCATCTTTGTCGTGGATGAGCATTTGACAGTACATGAGCAGTTTCTTCTGTAAAATCAGGAAGAGAACTTAACTCGGGACAAAGAGACTCAAATCGCGTATTTGTTATATCTACGACAGTGAAAAAGAACGTCAGCCTCTTACAGGCATCTAGTGATTAATAGAAGTAGTATCTCTCCAGTCACCCGTAACGTTTGAGACTGCATTAACAGCAGGACTGTCTGGCTCATATAACTCATGGTTTCTCAAACAGATTAAGTCGCTTATATCGGCGTACAGTGAGGACCTGTATCTTTAAGTATTCAAAAGACGAAACTTCCTCTAATGTCATATATTTAGCTCGTGTATGCTGCGGAGTAACCCCATGAGGTTGATGCATCTTTGGTAGTGGTATCCATTTGAAGCGGCCGAGAAATGCACAGAACCACAGCTCAAAATAAATAATTATTGCATCGACCACGGAGCCGCCATGTAACACATATCCGGTCTTTGGCACTTCCCTTGAGCAGCCATGGATCGGGATCAAGCTAGCTTCTAAGTTTGACATACTCAAGTTGCTGTGCAAGAGGGAACTACGCTGTGACTAGCGTCTGACTTCTGTTGATCACGGTAGTCTAGAAGGTATCACAGTCTAATTTGGCATTACGTGCTTCACCAACTCCCCTCACGAGCTTGAATCACTGGCAGTGGAACAGCAGTGAAGCAAGTGTGCTGCATACTGTTAGCAGCCTCTATTGCAGGTATATGAGCACCGTTCAGTCCGCAAACACTGACGACGAAACAACTCAAAGTGCAAATGAACACATTCAATCGTGCCTCAACACAACACCCCCTGAAATTCGTACACTTTACCCTTACACAGAAACTCACACTCACAATGTCTGCACCAGCACCAGGTACAATACAAATGGACGCCTACTTCAAGGACAAAGGATACCAGTGTAACTTGCCAGATCGTGACACTTTCAGGGAATATGGCGCACTACGTTACCAACGCTCTTACGACCAGGAAACTAGGACATTGAGATGCAGTCTTGATGTTGACATCAATTCTCCCGCAGATGCCCCTCGGGAGGTGATTGACCGCGCTTTTGCAGCGCTTAAGAGGGAAGGATTTTTAAGTTTTGGGAATTCCATCGACTGGTGATCACGGATGATCAGGGGGCTCGTCATAAACAATTTCTTCTATAATTCGATACCAGAGGCGTGTATCCTATCAATATTATCGGCGAGGATGCTTTGATTCATCAATAAAATAAATATTTATATGCCTTTCCTCCAAGCCAGCATGTGAGGCGAGGCAAAATTGGCTAGGAGCTTTGGATTATTGACTTGTAGGTTTATTTGACTTGCTCCTCGTGAAAGACTTTGACCCGGTACATGAGTTTATGCAAAAGAATGTATGCTCTCAAAAGGTATAAACGAATCAATAGTTAATGTCTCCCTATACACCAATTCGCCATATCATATGATAGAGTTGTCATATATAGTGAGTTAAATGAGTTTCTATCTCTTTAGGAGTGGTGCATCTCTTGATAATTGGAAGGCAGAGGCAGCAATATGGCCTGGCACAGACAACCATTGTATGCAGCGCTTTGAGTACCTGACACGAACCTATAAACCCTTCACTCCAACCTTGAGTAGCCAAGGATCCGAGTCAATCTGCTTCCTGAGATCTCCAGATGCTAGGTCATTTACATCCCATGTAGACCAGACGAAACGACCGTGAAGGAACTCCGCCTCTGGGGAAGAAGCCCAGACAGCGAAGCCACCAGGGATATTCTCTGGGATGTGTCAGCCACTGGTACAGAGCATAGAGGTGGCAGATAAACATACCATCTGACCAAGGTAGAGTGTCCTCGGTGTATCCGGCCTTCTTTGCTGCTTCTGTAAACACAATCGATGGGTGGAATGAGATGATGCGCATGTTGGACTCTGGCGTGTCACGAGCGATCTGCTGCAAGACGACAGCGAAGGAGTTCTTGGTCAGTTGATATCCAGGCATCTGAGGCGCGCTGTCCCAACGATGGATATCTTGAGTTGACACCGACACGACGAACTAGAACGGCCTGTCAGTCAAATATGGTAAGTAGATCTCGGAGGCTGAACCTTTTGTTTGGTGTGACCCGGTTGTTTATAGAATCTCTCAACGAGGTACAAAGGAGCGTGGACGTTGTTCTCAAAGTCTTGCCAGAGTCTATCTGCGCCTTGCTCCAAGACTGGCTTCAGCTCAGGCTGACCAACAGCATTGACAATAAGAACGTCAACTAAAATCTTTTCCTTCTCCAAGTCATCCCAAAGCTGTTTTGCCTGGTCTCTGTTGAACAGGTCGCAGGTACGCCAGGTCACGTTGGTGCCGGCGTAAGCCTCATCCAACTTGGAAGCGGACCCTTCGGCAACATCATCACGGCGACCTAAGATGATGACGGCCGATGCACCCGCGATGCAATAGTTTCGTGCAATTGCGTGGCCAATGCCTGTGGAACCGCCGCAGACAAGGACCGTTCGACCGGCTTGCGATAACTCAGGTCGCTCGGGGGAGATGGCTTCGTAGGGTTTGGCATGGTTTCGCTGCAAAGTGTTAGTTGGAAGGTGAAGTCAAGATGCAGGAGATATATCATACGATCGTGATACCGTTAATAGTTGCGGTGGATGGATTCATTGTGGATAGATCGATGTTTCCGATGAGACTTCAATCACACGAGATTTCGCAAGTTCCAGATTTTGTCTGATGATTCGATGGTTATATATACTTTTCTGACGTTTCTTATAAGGATCACTCTATGAAGTCGACGATTGGCTATCACGGTGTATCTCTCCTCATAAGGTAAAGATCCGCGCGTGGGATTCCCTCCCTCGTCTCTTTTCCTCTAGCGCTGACGCCTGAAGGAACACGTTGGTCTACTGCTTACAAAGTCTATACCGCATCGTCTCATTGCTTCCGAATAGAACCGGAAACTCATCCATAAGCAGGCAGCCCGCTATTCGGCTACAGAGTACTAATCCAATCGGCAATATCTAATCAAGGTTACGTGGTGGAGTCAACACGGAATTCCGATTCAATGGGAAACTGCACCAAAGTCCGTGCACTGAATCTGATGCCCAATATCCGTGACGGGCCGGATAAAGTCCTCAAGACCAGTGATTTTTTAATACTTGTCGGAAGTAAGATTAACGAGACTGCAAGTGGTGATTGAACGGCCGTTTATGCCAACTCATCATCGAACAGTTGTTAGCTATCCAGTTCTCAACCATCAACACAAGATCTTCTCAGAACTCACTTTCACAATAATATCATCCATTGCGGTGTATCAAGAATGTGGATGATTGTGACACTGAAACTTTGAGACGGAGTTTCTCTGACAATCGCTTAGAGAAAGGCATCATAAACACTTGAAGCGGGCACTCGGAATTCGAATCATGGCTCTTGATAGAGATATGTCAGCACTGTATCACGATGTGTTAAAATGTATCAAAGCCTCAATATCAGCTAAAGAAGTGAATTCGACTTTACACTACACAAGCATTGACCGGCTATGTTAGATTCAATGCATATCACTCTGTTTCTCCCCAAAAATGACCAAAATCTCATATACTAAGATGGTTGTTGTGTTTAAGCAAAAGGGCTATTAACCCCCGAGACTTTGATCAAAGAATGCATTGACCCTTACATGAGGCCATGTGCAGACTACGCAACAAAGACCATCAGGTTCACTCATGAGAAAGAGAATGGTAACGCACAGATGATGAAGGCCGAGATGTGGCCAATGTTCCATAGATTGCAGATGTTTAATGACTGGGAGGTCTTTGAAATAACTGCCTTTCGCAAGGATAGGAAAACCGAGACCCTCAGCGCTTGAGTGCAAGGTTTGTTCCTTTGGCATTACGCCGAAGATCGACTTGGCTGGTGGATAGAGGGAAGAGGTGTATGTGGCCGAAGAATGCTGCATATGGAAATACGCCTGTTCAATGAACTAAAAGTTCCAAGTGACAAAACCAGGAAACAGCTTGATACTGTCGCCACAGATTCTTGAGTAAGAGGAACATCCGCCAATTGGTTCATGCTGTTCGGCATTCGTGGTTCTACCTGCTTGACAATGGAATGTTCATAAAACATCTGAGGATCGTAATTTGAACGACAGGATGTCCCTTAGGACAAGCAATAATATATTTTATAGCTTTTATGGTATTTAATACAAATTATTTCCCACTTAAAGCTTCCTTTTTGTTTAAACTATCCCCTTTGAGAATAGCGTTACAAACTTTGCAACTTGTTTCCTTACCGTCTAAGTCTTACTAACAGTTTACCCTTCTAGGTTCTCTTCAAGGATGTCTGGAATGATTCTACAGGCAATTTTTGCGCGTAAGCCGCACCACTCACCTAATATCCTGCGTGACGCAGACCGGCTTCAAGCAGCCTGCGGTACGGAGTGCGAGGTTGACATTATCGCTAACAAGCTTAGGGTGACGGTAAACACAGACTGTAAAGACAAAGATGTTGTTATGACGGGTCTGACAATCAAGATGGAGCAGGAAACCCTTTTTGAGGACTGGGAGCTTCTGCCGGGATGGACTTGGAAGCCTGAGAAGAATGAGTGTTGCTGCCGTATTCTTTAAGGGTGAGTTGCACAGTAATGTGGAAAGGAGCAATCTGTTTGGGATAGATAGTCCAAGAGGGTTTCAAAGAATATTAGAAAAGTAAAAAGAGATATACTGATGTCCCGATTCTTGCAGATTCCTTCGCACAAACAATCTCTTTGTACACCTCGCTTTACCCTTGACCGCATATATCATCTATTTATGGTAGACCTGGGTTTCTTCGAGAAACTTCCTAAGTCGAAATACAGATCCTCGTGAGCGGGCCTGTACCAGAAATATCTGTTCAGGTGGCTGACCCTGGACTGGCGTATCACATTCCGCTTGACGAAATGTTTCAAATGCTCATGCAGTAATAGGCGATCGATATGGCTATCCTTCGGGCCTAGTTAATCCTATACGTTTAAATCTTGTACCTCTCGACTTAGCTGATGCTGCGTGTCCTCAACAGAAGGCAGTGCGATTATATTAAGCTTGTTTCTCCTGTGGCTGGCTGACTGTAAGATACCAAGCCCGCCACATTCCTCTACACTGAGACTTCACATATTCTATCAAGTTCAATAATGAAATATGACGTGATTCAAGATTAGCAGAAATTTGAACCACAGGAGAGTATCTACAATAGCCTAGTAGTAACCTAACAAAAGTCTGAGTCGCCCGACCGATTTGACATATTTATATAGGAGCCTTAGTCCATGATACTTTCCATCTTTCGGAAGCGAATCACCAGCTCCCAACTACAACATCCCTCAACTCAGAAAGTCCAAGATGGTTCACAAGATTACCTTCGATATTGAAAACCGAACTCCCTTCTACCTCATTCCGAACGGGCAGTTTGCTTTTTGGGGCAACACCAATTCCGGGCCTGAGACTGTAAGTCTGTTACTCTTCAAGTCCTTCTAGCCATGCGAATTGCAACTAAGCCGCTTTGCCGTATCAGATCAAACCTTACAGCATTGGCTCAGGTGGTGTGTTCTAAGCCTCAGCAGCCCCATGGGTAGGCTCTGCGGGAATCAGCGGCTACACAATCGCCAATCCAGCAATTTGGATCGCCATACTTGGCAGTGATCCGGACTGGAGCGCCGAAGCTAACAGTGCTCGTGTCGCCATGTCTACTAAACCACTCACAATGGACAAGGATCTCTACAGCTACATGTACTCTTCCAATGTCACTAACCTGACCCTGCCAACTCCCAATGGGCACATCAATGTAAGATTCTTGTGATCTCATAGTTGGCAAACACTGACGCAGATGTCTAGCTGACTTGCAGCATCGGCAGCGATGACGATACTACTGCCCTTTTCACATTGACCTTCTATAAAGGCACTGGTGTTACATACGAGGCTCTCGGAGTTGTCGTACCTGAGGAGAAGTAAGGATGGAGTAGCGAGAGGGTTGCAATATCTGGGCTATACAGAGGATCTTTTACGGTGCCACTCTGTACCTATTCTTAGCCCGCTATGTTTGCTGGCTGGAGAAGGACCCCCACAAGCGCCGTTATACATGGACCAGAAATAAAGACCATGATGCAGACCAAGGATAAAGGAAACCTCAGCTTACCAATGGTGCTAGTGCTATGAAGCAATGAGTGGGGATGTAATCGGAGAGAATCTCCGAGTAGTCGTGGAGATTGGAGGTATGGTAGCTGCGTTTAACTCGATCTTCGAGCCGGTTTGTATTGAGACTCGAAGCGGGTCTGGATTGCGAGTCACAATGCGCAGATCTAGTTGCGGAAGAATATGGGAAAGAATTGGCTGACGGGCTATATCTAAGGAATGATCTTCTCTGCATTACCAATTGACTACATATCTGTCGTGTGCCTTTTCTCCGTTACAAGCCCATCATGATGTCAATCGCTAGCATTAGTCCAAACCTTCTCAATGCCAAGTTCCAAACCTTGAATTCCACGAATTTAAGATTCCTGCTCAATCCTGATTTTTTTCCTCTCACCGGCCGTCTTAGCCGGAAACTATGCATATAAACAACACCTCATCTAGATCTCGATAATCTGAAACGGTGACGATGGGAATGACGTGGGTGTAGTTAGAGCTAGCTCAGTAGCTCCTGTAGCTAGCTTGGTAGCTTGTAGACCCAGACGTTGGTGGATGAGGTCTAGGCCAGAAATAGGCTGGTGGCTGAGACAGCCCTGATGTCACGACGCGGAGAAATCATCATGAGCGCATCAGCCATGACGCACTAGAGTTCAGCCCCAGATTTCTTGCATGGCCTGGTAAAGAGCTGAAGAGATAAAGGGCGGTGCTGGCTCGATGGGTGGCTTGTGTTCCTCTGATCTTATCATTTACCACTGAATCAATTGAAACGAATCATATTATAATTCTAGTAATCGGGTAATCGATAGTCAACATGAGTGGACTTCGAGACAATTTCCAGCCAGTCCTGGCCGAAGATGCCCCAAGGTCGCAAAGCAATGTCGAGCGCCGAGACTCTGGTCCACTGAAGGACATTATTGGTAAGAAGATGTCAATTTATGAAACAAAGGTCTCAGTATTCTGACTCTTGCTCCGCAGCTCAACAGGACAGTCTTTACAAGTACATCAGCGTATGTTCCCCTTCGGCCGTCATCGTGGCTGGTGGCTGATACTGTCTAGTGGGAGGATCCCGCACGAACTATCGGATCATACTTTGCCGCCTTAGGCTTTATGCTCGCCGTCCACAACATGCACCTCACCCAGCTGGTTCTCAAGACTATGGCAATTGGCCTTGGAGGTACCAAAGAAGACTCCCGATTTTCTGGAGATGCTAATAATGCCATACAGTGATGTCCATGGCCGAGTTCGCTGGTCGTTCCTTTGGGCCCAACAACTTTGTGTCTCGCATGCGACCCCGACAGTACAAGACTGTCCCAGAATCGACTCTCAACGCTACCCTTAAGGATATCCATGACCTCATTCAGTATTCCGTTGTGCAAGCCCAGAAGGTTATCTTTGCCGAAGACTTGGAGAAGACCTTTGGTGTAAGTAAATCCCTGTCGCTCAATCGGGCCTCGCTTACAGACAATAGGCATTCGTTGCAACTGGATCGCTTTACTTCCTTATCCAATTCATGACCCCATTCGGCATCGCTATTCTCGGATTGACCACCATCTATATCATCCCTCTCGTCACTTCACCACGAGGACGAGGCATCGCCCGAGATGGCATGGCTCGTGCTCAAGAGATCAGCAACGCAGCCGTTGACCAAGCTAACTCTATTGCCCAAGACCCCAAGGGCACCATGGCTAACATTTCTTCCATGGCCCAAGATACCGCTGGTAACTTGAGACAGCGCGCTGTCAACATGGTTCCTGGTTCAAAGCAGACTGAGAACGGAGCTGATGTTACTTCAACTGTTCATCACAGTGCTTCTGGACCCACTCAGGCCAGAGATATTTCCTCCAAGTTCCCTCAAGATGACTCCAAGTCTTCTGAGCAGTCGAAGCATCTTGCGTCCATGGGCTCTCGTGGTATTTCAGGTAGCTTCGACCGATCACCAATCAAAACTGTTCACGTCGACCCAAATCCGTCCAAGGACTTCTCCCAGAGCAGTTTTGACAGCTCTTCTTCCCAGTCCAAGGACACTCCATCTACCTTCTCCCATGGCACCACTGATGATTTCCCCTCCAACACGCAGCCCACTCTTGGCAAGTCCGAGGAGAATACTCCTAGCTTCTCCCAAGGCGCAACTGGAAGTCTTCCTTCCTACGGACAAGCTACCTCCAGCAAGCCTCAAGATATCACCCCTAGCTACATGTCCAGCAAGGCAAAGGAAGCTACCTCTGGTTATTCCTCTAGCCGCCCAGATGACAAAACCTCTAGCTTTGGTTCCAGCATGAACAAGGATATGTCTTTAGGCTTTTCCCATGGCACCACCGACGACTTCTCAGCTTCCAGCAAGACCAGCTCCAACTTCCCTCCTAGCAAAGACCAGGATATGCCCGACTACGCTCAGCACCGAAAATCTGTCAACTACTCCAAGTTCCCTCACGTCAGCGGCGACAGCTCCGGCATGCAGTCTGCTACGAACAAACAGTCTGGCTCTAGTACCCTCTTTGGTAACCAAGCTCCTACTGGAAAGAAGCCTTCCATCGACGAGACCAACTATTCACTCCAGAACACAAGAGACATGACTTCGGACTATCAGCACTTCGTTCCCCGTGAGGCTCCCAACCGTGGAATGCTTGGCTCTCAGGGCGATACCTCAATGGGTAAGATGCCTCTTGGTGAGCTGATCGATGAGAAGGAGCAGGCTGGAAACAAGGCTCCGCCGATCTCTGGTGGTGGCCTGAATGCCATGAAGTAGTATTACTCCCGATACAAATCCCCGATCTCACAGTCTTTCCTTCTGTTGTTCAGTTTGCGGTCATCTTACCAGCCCTCCGAACAAGAGATCTTGGGGCGATACAGCTTTTCCCCAAAGACTGTCTTTATATCTTGTTCAGAGTCTGATCTAGGCGACTGCGAGCTGAACACAATTTGGAGTTTGGGCAGGACTGGCGCATTTAAAAAAAAAATACGGTTAACCAACCCACTATCATTGAGACTATGCCACAGTATCAGAAGACTGTCACTTTGTAACACTATATATGAAATTAGTTTATGAGATTAACGACTTGATTGACTTCAGTCCTTCTACCATCCCTTCCGGTGCTTTCTGTATAGGCCTACCAAGTTTACTGATTCAGGCTCTGTGTCACGCTCCTTGTTAGCCTTGGCTGATAAACGAAGACTGGTATACATCCGGGACCCTACAAAAGACCTTAATACTGCCGAACATAAAGGAGCCCCGGGGGGGATGGGAGAGTTTTGTTATATCAGTTACGTACATGTAAGTTAAAACAAAGGTTGCCGTCGCCGCGTCTGCATGGCCAATATTCGAAGTAAGCTACATCAACATCAGTCTTCCGTCAAGAGAGCGCTGGCGGATGCTCACTTTAAGCGTCCTCCCCTCAAATTCCGTGCTGGCATGACGAGGTTCGTTATAATAATGATGATTGTAAGCGTCCTGGTTGATACTCAGATCGAAGGAAGCGAACGAGACACACGCCCAGTTGTCACGAACGCTCAGGTATGGGTTGCTTGCAAGGAGGCGAATGTAAACGGTGGCGCCATTCTTGCTGGTGAGAGAATATCCGACTATCCCTGCAGAGCCGACAAACGGTGATTGCGAAGACATTACATGACCGCCGTCTCCTTTTTGGAAAGGTTTGACCTTGGGACCTTTTAGCACGCGTGTACAGCGCTGTTTGTTCAAAGCTTACTGTTGTCGGTCCTGCGGCAAAGTCGCCCCAGTCACTGAAGGTTGTTGGGTTTGGCACTAGAGTGAAGGGCGTTTGATTATCGACCGCGAACAAAATCTGGTTTTTGGTCATTTTTGCAGCTGCGTTGAGGTGACTGTCGAGTTTGGGGGAACGGTCTCAGCCTGTGGAAAATGAGGCTATCGCGAGCAAGCGGCCGGATATTATATATCACTCTATCTATTACCGAACATAAATTAAACCGCTGTTGAATCTGTAGCTCCGTAGCTCCAAATGGGAGCAGTATGACCCCTGTCTCCAAAAAGCCAGTGCAGAAACGCCTTGTGAGGCTATTGATGACGCTAGACTCCTCCACCAACCATTTAAGATCTTCCGACACACCTCGCAGCACCGCTGACTACACAGAGGCAGTCTTTCAAGCCACTCTGCTCAAAGTCCAATAATGATGCGCGAGCAGACACCCACTGATATCTTGAAGGGTTAAGCTGCTTGCGTGCTATGGAGACATGTTACCTTAATTTAATAAATTGAGACAAGCGAACACCCACTATTGAATAGATTAGGCAGAATCATGGGCGACAACGTGGCAGGACACGGATATCACGGCACTTTTTAAGCATGCCAGCGTTAGCTATGCTGGGTAATCAATCGGAGAATGGATGAAGTTTATTTTTTACTTTAATTGTATTTAGCAACAAAGCTCGAACATACTAACAAACGACCGTCAACGCATCCATTGGTTGAACCTATAGTGAGGCGATTGCACCTAACATCAACATTAATAATCAGCTTCAGGACGGTAGAAATAGTCATAGGCCTATCATCAATCAGTTTGCATGGCAGAATGATTTAAAATTCAACCAATAATTGCGGATACTGTTCATATCACTTCTTCGTCATTCTTGCCTTTTGATCGGATATCCGGAAGTCCGATATACGTCATGAATATGGATCACCGGTTAATAAGTGGGCACGACCTTGATTTAGGAGCCGGATCTCTGGACAATGAAACCACGAGATAATTCTTACATAGTTTCACGAAGCCTCAAAATGTCAGATCCCAGGTCGCCACATCTCAAGAAGCGAGATACCCCTCCATGGGGCTTATACCAACGCGAGAACTTCTGGAAATTAAATGAAGGCCAAGTTCCACCATTCAACACCCGTATGATGATCCAATACCAGTTGATCTCATTGATGCTGACACGACACTCTTAGACCCCGATAAGCTTGAGGAGCTCGCTAAGGCGAAACTCACTGAGAATGGCTGGCTCTACGCTTCATCCAACGCAGGCCTGTCGGATACTCACCTTGCAAACCGTCAAGCTTTCTTCCGACATAAGATCGTGCCTCGCCAGCTGGTAGACACCAATGAACGATCTACTAGAACGACCTTGTTCGGCCATGAGCTTTCTGCGCCGTTTGGAATTGCGCCTATTGGGATCAACAAGATCTATCATCCGCAAGGCGAGCTTCCTGTTGCCAAGGTCGCTGGTGAGCTCGGCATACCTTACAGTCTCTCAACTGCGGGCTCCTGTCCGATTGAAGATGTCGCTGAGGCAAACGATACTGGTCGGAAGATTGCACAGAATAGCGAAGAGGGCCATCGCATTCCTGAGGGTCCCCGCTTCTTCCAGCTCTACTTGCCCCATGACGACGAACTGACGTTGTCACTACTCAAGCGAGCTCATGATTCCGGGTTCTCTGCTTGTATCTTAACAACAGACACTTGGCAGCTTGGATGGCGTCATGACGATGTTGCGACGTCCAACTACGCATTCTACCGTGGCATCGGCGCTGACTTAGGTCTTTCGGATCCCGTCTTCCAGAAGCGTTTAGCCGAACATAGTATCGATCCAAAGAAGCAGCCCGCCAACGCCGGTGCACTATGGATCGACAACGTTTGGCATGGTCGCGCATGGTCTTGGGAAAAGGCTGTCTGGGCACGAGAGAAGTGGCAGGAGATCAGCGGTGGAAAGCCGTTCTTAATCAAGGGCATTCAGCGCGTCGATGACGCTGAAAAGGCAGCTGATCTTGGTTTTGAAGGTATCGTCGTTAGCAATCACGCTGGGCGGCAGGTTGATGGAGCTATCGGGAGTCTTGATGCTTTGGAACAGATTGCTGATAAGGTTGGCGATCGTATCGTTGTGACATTCGATAGCGGAGTTAGAGGAGCAGCTGACATCGTCAAGGCTCTCGCTCTGGGTGCCAAGTTTGTTTTTGTTGGGAGACTTTGGATTTGGGGACTTAGTATAATGGGAGAACACGGAGTCAGGCACGTGTTGAGGGGACTGTTGGCAGATCTGGATATCCTGATGAATGTCGCAGGGTTGAAACAGGTTGAAGATATTGATAAGAGTCTTATACAATCCTATCCTGTAAGTTACAAGAGCAAGCTATAAGTTACAGATACAAACATAGGATAGAAACATATTAAGGTAGGTGGGTGGTTGTCGTTGGCAGGAGTGCTGTTAGCATCATTCTACTGTTAAACGGGATTAATGAGTACAGACATTGCGTTAGTATTGCTCAGCTTTACGCGATACGGTCTGAACAAGAACTATCAGCATGTGACGGTTGGTTCAATGCTAAGCGTTATTAAAGTGTTACGTCTCTTAATAATAGATTCAATATATACTAGGCTTAATTGATATTAAGAGGTTTTAGTAATAGCTAATTAGCTAAGTTCTATTTACTGCTAAGTGAATGTATACATATACTTATAATAATTCTGTGGGAGCGACGCCACATAAGGTTTTCTTCGATCTTGGGAACGTCAGTCCCCTATGTGGTTAGTTGGTGGTGTGGGGAAAATTGTGAAGTAGACGTAATGCAACTAACAGAATTGTAACAGTATATATAGTTATTTATCAGGCAGTTACACATCAGTGGACTTGGGGTTATTTTGGAAATGTAGTCTAATATAGCGATATACCCTCTACATGCCTTAAAACTATAAAGAATATCATAACTCATTCTTTACTTAGTGCCTAATAGGAATGTAGCTTTATAACCAAGAACTACTAACCATTGCTTCTTCTGTGTATCCCTCTGTTTACTGCCCCCTATCCTTGGGCACCAGTAAGGATGATATTGGTATCCTATTCCAGTAAGTAAGCTTTTGGTTAATAGACATATCATACTCTCAAGACTTACACAGCCGCCTCCCTTAGGGACGCACTGCCCTCCTCCAACTGTAGGAGTCTGACAGTTGCTGATCGCATAGCGGTCGTAGGTCTTATCCGTCTTGTGGTAAAGATCGATGACAGGGTTACCATCGGGATCTTTCAAGAAAGTGACTTGGACGTCACTGCAGCCGCCAACGTCCTGGGTTCCTGAAGGGTTGTTGTAGTTCTGCTGGCAAGTACCAGAGAATGCCACGTTCCCGTTGCAACCCCAGAAGTCAGAGACATTAACCAGGCAGCTTGGGATGCAACATCCGGATGAGCCTGTACACCCTGCTGCGGTGCCTGAGTCTTCAAGGCCGAGATTGCTGGCGCTTGTCTAATAGAACACGTTAACTCTCGAAGGACGAAAAATATGGATTGTGGCTTCCCACAGTCGCCCAGAGCAAGGCAGAGCTCAGAAGGAATTTCCCGATCTTGGAAGAAAACATTATTCAGGTTTAGTGGTGATTCAGGTAAGATGTTGAGTGTTGCGAGTGATGATAGAAAGCCTCTTGCTTCGTGGAGACGGCTGGCTGTATTTATACCTGCAATTCACAGCACTAAAGTGTACCAGTCATCCTCTGTCACGTCCTCGATCCGGTGACAGGCATTGAAGGGATGGTATGCAAGGGTTAGCAAGGCTTGCTTGCGCCTTGGATGACCATATGACAATTATCATCATCATTATAGTCTCTACTACCTTGATGCTGGGGTATATTTTGTAACCAAGTTTTCAGCGAAAATCCTGCAGGATCGTGCAGTAGTGGCTTGTTCGCGGATGCGTCAGCCCAATATGGGTCGGAATCATTGCTGGTACGACTTACTCGAGACAGGTGTAGGTCCTCATATTTGTCAATAAAGACGAAATTTCGCAAGCAAGTTGAACCGCCATCTTACAACACCTTATACCTTTGTTGTCAGTTCCTGATGCGACGATGTCATTATTCTTAATTTGTCAATAGCGAGGTCAAGTAGTTAGTGGTTTGTCATGACGAGATGGGCATCTTCTCCAGGTCATTTTCTCAGGTATACGCACTGACGCTTTCTGGTGACCGTTTGCCAATTCGATCGATCGAACGCTTGATTTCTTTCACAAAAGTTCGATGTCCTCCACATGCTAGTCTGATTGGTCTATTTCGTTCCACACCGTGCTGTGGCTTATTGCCCTTTAGTTGAAGTCATTTCCTGTTTTTTTGCTTCGAATCCTTTGCAATGTGACCGGGATCTATTCAAGTGCGCTTGTTGTGAAGCTAGCTTGTAGCTGGAACTGTTTAACCATCGTAGAATTCGAGCGGGCCGTCGGAGAGAACATTCATTAGGACGAGCCACAGGGTCTCAAAAAGCCATGGCAGGTCGGGACTTAGAATCGTTCGAACCTTAATCTGCGCAGTGCATGTTATAACTATTCCGTACACACTACACAGCATGATTTTCCTTGGCTCTCTCGGGCCCTCCCGTGGTGGTTATGTTTCCCGGGAACTCGGCAAATATCCGAACCTAAGATTAACACGGAATTGACCTGATTCATACATGTCACATATTTTCGACAGGGGTTGCTCGCCTGTCGCCCGCTTGGTTATACGAGCGACTCCACAAACACGATGTCTCGTCAGCCGCCACCTACATCAACCATTTTATCACCAGACAGTTTCATTGGCCCGCATCACAGTCTCTTCCTTTTCCGTCAGCTAGCCCCAAGCCTTCCGTAGACTAAATCCTTCCGTAAATGTGGCCGTAGAGGCGGGGCTAAGGAGTGAGGATGGTGTCTGGATTCTCTGTAGAGGGAAAAAGCCCGTGACGGTAATGGGCCAACCTTCCAGTATCAGGATCCGATCGCTCGCTGACATCCTGGCCTTACGACTAAGGTTATTGCCTGCACCACAGAGATCGGCAAGAAATAGCACTCATGCTTAATGACTGTCGGGTCTAGGTAAGACAGATCAAGAGCTGCTCCCTTTGTATGTCTTTGTCTCCAACAGATCTACCTTCAACAGGATGCTAATTAGATATCACATCTGCATATCTGAGGCAGGAACTAGCTGTGCTATTAGATCCGAGGCTGTCACGCCTTCCATCAGTGCAAAGGACCCCCTACCGATCTGGCAACCCCATCTCTACGTTTTCAACTCGCGCCAAGTCCGCCAGGCTAAAACCATAATTAAGCGTTAAGCTCTAGTTCCTCTAGATCTAGGCATTGCATCATAATCTCTATCCCTAGAGCTAAAAGATCCCAGGAGCGAGATAAGGGCTTTATGCTTAGCTTCAGTTGTCGTAAATTCACATAGTTGTGTCAACACCCAATGCAAATCCTGAGTATACAGCATTGCCCTCTAAGTTTGCCAGAGGTTCGTAGGCGGCTCTGACAGACTCTACCTGCCGGGGCTTTAGACAGAGACAACTGTTGAGTAGGCCAGTGCCACAGGCCATAATCATTGGGTCGAAGGCATGTGCCGAAGGGTTGTCAGTGATGCCATCCTCAACACCATCCAGAGGATCGAGCCGCTCAGTCTTTTTTGCTACTATCACTTTCCACTGTTCTGGTCGAACATATGCATCAGAAGTCAGATCAGGCCATCCAATCCGTCGAGCAAGGATACCTTTTGACGCCACAATGTGAAGCCAGTCAATGCCTGGCGCTCCAGCGAGGAGTCCGTCAAAGTCATCGGGGTAGAGCTGAGCATTCTGCAGACCTTGGCGCCCGCCAGTGCTACAGCCTTGATAATAGCTTTTTGAGGCTTTCTTTACCGTAATACTGCTGCACGATTTGCTTGGCGACTACCGCTTCAACGTAGATCCCTCGATGTCCGAAGTCGTTGATGAACCCTGGTTGGTTGAGAAAGAACTCGAAGCCTTGCTCGCCGTCGTGGCCCGTATTCGTACCAAAACAGGCAAAACCGAGTTGCGCCCCGTTCTGCACAGACGGGAAGTCAATGCATCCCCCGATACCGCCTGTTCCTGTGGCCAGTAGACGTGTGTTCCAGTCATCCGGAAGCCATGCCTCGATACGGACTGAGCTGAAGTCGCTTGATGAGACTTTGACAACAATTCTGCAGAGGTCTGCTGTGATGTTGACTTTGAAGTTTGGACCTCTGCAGGATGCTACTGTGTTAGGCAGGGGTATGACATCGCCAGCAACGTGGTGCTGGACTGAGGAGATGGTCCCGTGAGAGATCAGTAAGCTTCCGGCTGTGCATTTTGAATGAGGCTTCGCAATAACTGGAGATATAGCTACAGTCGCCAGGTACAAGAGCTTCTTGATCATCGACGACACCATCGTGTCTTAGACTGTGCAAGGCTGAATATATCCCCAATTTTAGAATGGCTTCACCGGAAATCACAACATATTTATACGTCTCATCTGCAAATGACAAGAGGGGTTTCGGCAAACCAGTATGCTAATAACAATAACAAGACTATACGGTCTAGTCAATCCCTTGTTCTGGTAGATAATTGTGAAGATCGGCTGGGGAAAAGAAGATGTGTAACCTCCGCATTTCGGCGTCGGCGCTTGTCGCCGAAGATGGAGGTCATCAGTAGGTTCATCGTCACATCTGGGGATATTATATCGCGTTCTTCGATGTCCAAACCGACGTATAACCGACAGCCCGAATGAAGTAGCTATTCGCGATCAATTGAAAAGTCCGCGCATCTTGGCACAGTACTTACGCTAGCGTACCGCCCCGCGTTTCTAGAAAGCGAAGCTTGTAACTATTTGTGTTCGTGAGGGCTTCATGAATGTGAAAGTGGAGTTCGGTATGCTTTTGATAGTATTTAGGCAGTCTTTCTGATTCCTGCAGAACCACAGTTCTTTGTTTTGTCACGTAGAATTTGCGTCAGTGATGGATACTAGAGTTGATGACGTAACCAGCTGCAGGCTTCGTGATATCATGCATCGGTAAAGCAACAGCGCTTCAGACTTCTCGCAACTCCCGTCATCATATCCTAACTCGGGAATCTCACCAATATCAACAACATGGTTCGCGTATTCATCACAGGGTCGACTGACGGTATCGGTCAAGCTGCCGCAAAGCTCCTCGCCGAGCAAGGCCACCAGGTTGTTCTCCACGCTAGAAACGCCGATCGCGCCGCTTCAGCCAAAGCCACCATTCCCAACGCCGCTGCCGTTCTCGTTGGCAACTTATCGTCAATTGAAGAGACCAAGAAGCTCGCCAAGGACGCAAAAAACGCTGGGCCATTTGATGTCATTGTGCACAACGCAGGCATTGGCTATGGCTCGACAGCATCGAGGGAAATCACTTCGGACAAGATCTCAGCTGTTTTCGCAGTCAACACCCTCGCACCATACATTCTCACATGTCTTATGGACAAGCCAAAGAGCAGACTTCTGTTCATGAGTTCGGATAGTCACTATAGCGGTGATGAGACTCTTAAGAACGCAACTCAATCGCACTCTTACGGTAACACCAAACTTCACGACACCATGCTCGCGAAAGCCTTTGCACGACGCTGGACCAATATCCAAGTCCTCAGCATGCATCCTGGGTGGGTAAAGACCAAAATGGGAGGAAGCTCAGCACCAGTTCAATTGAGTGAGCCGGCCAAAGCATTGGCAAGTTGGGTCGCGGGTGAAGGATCTCTGACCAAGGCTACGTCTGGTGCGTTCGTCACAACGAGTGGAGAGAGCAGACCTCATCCTGGAGCGGATAATTTGAGCAAGCAGGAAGAGTTGCTCGAGATATGCCAGTCAGTTTCGGGCGTTGAAGTGCCAGCAGAGTAGAAGATAAACGCAAAAAAATGAGATGCCTCGCTATTGCTCGCAATCGTTTATAGGAACAGCCCGATGCGGGGGTCGAACCCGCAACCTTGAGATCGCGTACTCGTAAGAGTCTCACGCTCTACCGATTGAGCTAACCGGGCGTGACTCTGATTGGTTGAGAGACAAGGCCTAATTGGGCCAGATTCGAGTTTGGGGAGACGGTCCCTGTGTTTGCTTGGATAGGGAATGGAAAGAATTAAAGAGGAATAGTTGCTTTGGAGAGATACTAGTGCCCTATCAATTAAATGTTGTATCTTCTGAGCCATTGGCAGTCCATAATGTTGCCCATGCTTATGCAGAGGTATATTGGTACTGGTGAAATAGCGACTTGGCGTACATAAAAGACTGGACAGTTTTAGTCAGTTGTCAACACACAACTCCCAGTCATAAGATTATAGGACTTATAATTGAGTGAATAGAAAAAGAGTGAAGGGTTTTCAAGAAGAGTCTTGCGTTCTCAGGGCCAATACGGTGTGCTAACGATATTCATCCCAAACTTGATGATATGTCCAGGGTAGTGTTAGCGATAAGATTACTTATCTTATCTTCCTCTCAACCAACCAGGTGCATGGCCTCAGAGTTTGCAACGTTCCAACCTCTTCCAGGAGCAAAAAGAGATAGCTTCACGACATCACAGAGGTCTTGGGAGCAAAAGGGAGGGTCTGGCCGGGGATTGAACCCGGGACCTCTCGCAAGCTGAGCTATAGGGTTTACCCTAAGCGAGAATCATACCACTAGACCACCAGACCGGATCAAGCATTGATGCACGTGATGAGTTTTGTTGAGTTTCGGGCCGGGAATGAGATCTAAGAGGATGCAGTTTACTGAAGCTGGGTAGTTGGAGTCTTTGTGGAGCGCGGATGGGATCCCGTTAGACATGTCACCTTGAGAGGACATCATTCGGCAAACGCATATCACTTCCGTCTCTGCATGACCCTTGGCAATGGAAGCAGTAATCGCAAATCCCATGAGCCATGCTATTTCCCCAGTACCGGCAGCCGGTGCTGAGAGAGAGGCTTGTACATCCATTGACCCCGAGGGCTTCTTCCTGCGCCCTCCGCCGACACCTCACCATTTGTCGTCCTTTATCACACCAGATGACCAGTTATTCCAAACAATACATATGGGTGCTGCTGTAGTCTCTAATGCAAAGTGGCTGCTGGTAGTTGATGGCCTTGTTCGGAAACCGTTTGCCCTCTCTTTGGCACAACTCAAGGCGTTATCTCAGGCTTCAGTTACGTCCTTTCACGAATGCTACGGAAGTCCTCTGAAACCTCCAACGAGTAACCCTCGGCGTATTGGCAACGTGGTATGGACTGGCGTTCGACTGTCGACCATCCTCGCTTTTGCAGAGCCTCTTCCTGAAGCATGCTTTGTTTGGTCAGAAGGCCTTGATCATGGAAAGTTCTTTGAGTACGAAGCAGACCGCTATCAGAAAGACTTACCTGTAGCGAAAGCTCAAAGACCTGAAGTGCTCCTCGCATTGAAGATCAATGGAGAGCCACTCAGTAAGGAACGAGGAGGACCGGTGAGACTTGTTGTGCCGGGTTGGTTTGGCACAAATTCGACAAAGTGGCTCTGCAGGCTTTCATTGCAGGAGACTCGCGCCCCGGGACCTTTCGCTGCTGTTCTCTACAATGAGAAAGACCCAACAGATCCTCAAGGCGTGAGGATGCGGCCGGTATGGGAAGTCGAAGTGAACTCGATGATAACGAAGCCCGAGGACTCAGCAGTCATCTGTGCAGGATCGGTATGGGTTGAAGGTTGGGCTTGGAGTCATGATGGAGTAGCACTGGTAGAAATCAGTAGAGATGAAGGTCAGAGCTGGATTCGAGGGAAGGTAAATGATAAAGAAGATCAGGCTTGGCAAAAGTTCACTGCGGCAGTTGATCTTGAGCCCGGAGTTCGGAAGTTAATGGCTCGGGCAACTTCTGAAAGTGGAATGCAACAGCCTTTGGCTGGAAGACGGAATCATGTCCATAGCATTACGGTAACTGTCAAATGACCATGATCCGCATTTCTCATTGACGCTCGACTTCTGGGGGACAATAGGCTAGCTGTGAATTCCAGCAATAGGACTGACAAAGGATAACCAGGAACAATGAAGAGAGACCCGGCGTCTGTTCTTCTTCTGGCCGCGTCGAGCAGTGCTGTCTCTTTGTTGAAAATACTGGTCTGAGCTCCCTACCAACCCTCGTGACTTCGATCTTCCACTGTGAATCACAAAGGGACGCCATGAACTAAGACGCGTTCTAAAAAGTGGTAAATCAAACTCTTGTGAAGAAAAACAGGTCTTCCCTTGTCACCCAAGGATACCGACATAAGTTCGAGTGTCATCTCCTCCTCAACCTCACAACATCCCCGGAGGACTACCTCAAGCGCGCTGCCCATCATGGCGCTTTTTGAACCCAAGTTCACCAATGAAATCCAACAGGTGCGTTACTTCTTCTTCGTTATCGTCCCATTGCTAACAGTAACAGATGATGTTCGTCGCCGGTGAGACGCAGGAAATCGCCAACGAAACCGCCGCCCTCGTCGAGCAGATAGTTCGCGACCAGATCATCCACCTGGTAAGTATCCAAACTTCTTCCCTATCTGAGATACTAAATCTAACCCATTAACAGCTTAATAAGGCCAAAGAGCTCTCCGCCCGACGCGGAGAGAAGTTCATCGCAATCAAGGATATCCTGTTCCAGGTCCGCCACGACACCGCCCGAATGACTCGCCTACAGAATGTCATCCGGTGGAAGAAACTCCGCGGGGAAGCCAGAAAGACAACAAATGACAAGGACAAGCCCGAGAACGATGCCGAAGATAGTTTCTCCGACACCGACAACGCGCCTGAGGACACCACCAAGAAGACCACCGAGGCTTCCGCTGCTCTCATGCCGTGGGACGAAGAGTTCATGTTCGCCGTTCGACCTCCCGGCGGTGACGCTGATGCTGTCCAGATGAGCGAGAAATCCCGCGAGCGCCTCATCTGGGCCGACGAAGTCACCAGCAAGATGTCTAGCGAAGAGTACACCAAATGGTGCTCCTACCGCAAAGCCTCCTTCCACCGCGCCAAGGAGGCCAGGTTCCGCGAGTGGGCTTGCATTGGCGTAGTCGCTGACCTGCGAAAGAAAGACGACGCCATTGAGATTCTGGGCTTTATCGCCGTGGAAATGGTTAAGCGCCTTACCGACATGGCGTTGTCGATCCAGGCACAGGAGATCACGACTCAGGGCGGGAAGGAGAATGAGGCAGCGGCAGCAGCCCTTCAGGCTAGAAGACAGGGCCTGTTCCTTATGTCGAACCCGCAGCGACCTGCTATTAATACTGGGCATATACGAAAGGCGTTTGAGATGACGCAGTCGACGCCGAAGCGAAAGGGGTATCAGCTGAACCGGATGATTGGACCAAAGCCTCTTCAGTTGATCTGAGTTTGAGGATGGGAGAAGGGATGATAGGGGATGAAGACTGGTCTACTTGTTTCTTTAGGATGAGATACATAGAGCTTCATAGATCTAGACCATAGATACGACACTGAGTCTCACGACTCAACGACCTCTTTCAGCGCCAGAAGTTGCGCATTCGTCCACTCCTTGACCTTGCCTTGCCATTTACCTCCTGTACCTCCGCCCTTGATATCCTTGATAACTACCTTGACCCTCTGTGCCATCGCATCAACGGCAATTTGATCACCAACAATGACAACTGGTCCACTAACCTTCGGCTCCCCAATGGCGATAACAACCACAAAGCCCGTGCCTTGGAGAACATCCCTCGTCTCCCCAACAATCTTATTAATAAAGTCCGTGTTGCCGTCGTAACGGTGAATGTATGCATTCATCCTGTTCTGTACAATGGTGCGGATGGCCTGCTCGCTTTCAAACTTTGCAACCTCGAGTAAGAGCTTCCGCTCAGATCGTTTCAAGTCGGTGACTGTGTCGGAAAGAGCTGTAGTTCGAGAGACGACTTCACTGGGGACGTTGCTGGATGAAAGGAGCTTTGCGATGGTGCTGATGGCACTGACGGAGGATGTTGCGAGCTTAATGGCGCGATCACCGGTTATGAAGGATAGACGGCAGTTCTTGCCATGGACTGATTGTGTTGAGCCGAGGATGATGAGGGAGATGTGAGATGTTTGGGAGAGGTGAGTTCCGCAGCACCTGAAGCAGTTAGCAGTCAATTCGACTGAAGGGTTTGTAGACTCACGTGTTTGTATCAAGGTCTCCAATGTGTATAACGCGTACAACGCCATCGGACTTGTCGTAATCACCAGGGAGCTTATCATGCTTTGCGTCATCTGGCGTCTCAACCTTTATTGGCAGATTCTCTCGGATCAACTCCGCACACTCATTCTGAATAGCCTGTATCTCTTCCTCTGTCGGTTTCCGCTGCAAGTCAACGTAGTTCATGCTCTCATCAGCGCCCATTCCCCATCCGAGCGTTTTGAGATCGTGGCGGTTCTGCATCACAGCGGAGAGGAGATGTTGGCCGGTATGTTGCTGCATGTGATCCCATCTTCGCTTCCAATCGACCTCTTGACGAATTTTGTCACCTGGGGATAGGGGCTTAGGGGAGTAGATTATGCAGCGGAGACCTTGGCGCTGAACGTTCTTGATGGGGATGGGGGTTTGATCTGTGCCTGAGAGGGGCGTGATTGTGCCATGATCTGAAGGTTGACCGCCGCCTGAGCTCATGTCAGTATAGTTTTTTATTACTTAGAGAAAAGGGAGTGTAATACCTTCTGGGAACAGCACCGAGTCGGCGCACTCGATTAACCACTCATCATGCGAATGAGAATGCCCATTGCTCTTCTTCGATTTGTGCGCATGTTTCGTCGCCTTTTCGCACGAGATGACTTCTGTTTCGAGGGTCTTGAGGTATGAATCTGATTGACATGATAAATCGCCGACGATGCGGCCTTTGCTGGCTTGCTCTGATGCCGCCATTTTGAGGATGAGATGCCAAGGGATGAAAGACCCGTTCAATTGAGACGTTTCAATGACGTAGTGGGGTATGCTGACAAAGACGACATGTCACTTGATCAGCTGAGATTTCGCGACTCGTTCAGATTGAAATGGATTAGATTCGAGTACCTTCGAGCAGCGCTTTGTTACAATATTGCTACAGACTCTGACTGAAGAATTAAGGTATGAAATAGAGTTGGGTTTGACTTTGTGTAGCGTCGAGTTACCCCGTTTTCAGAGCAACGCCCAGCGGGGGAATCCGATGAACCGTAACACCATGATTCCGGTCTCATTCTCACAGCAACGAGGTCTTCGTTGGAGGAAAGGAATGCTGTATAATGCTTGTAATGAAAACCGTATTGTCTTTTTGAATTAATGGCGTCTTTTGCTACATGTTTGAAGCGGCCTCATTTTCGCAACAATTGCTCATCAACTTTTGGCAACGGCGGCTATGCGATTACAGGCCAGTCTCCAAGAATTGAATCAGATCCTCCTTGTGTTCACTCTGTAGATCATTGATCTTCTCTCCGTTCTTGTACATGTGGAATGTGGCAGGTTGCGAGACACCGACCTCCTCCGCTAGACCCTTCAGGTCGTCAATGTCGACTTTGACGAATCGGAAGTCCTTGAACTTGTCCAACTCATAGGCGCTATAATTATCAGGGTGAAATTTCCTGCAGAGGCAGGAGGGAGACTCACTGAGCGAATGTGGCAGCAATGTGCTTTGACTCTGCGCTGTGCGTAGAGTAAAAGTCCACGACGACGATGGGATATTTCTTGAGAGCATCTTGGAACTCGTCCTTGCTAGTAACCGTAAGCATCTCTAACAAGTATCCAGGGGGGCTTGCGGGGATACTGACGTTCGGATGTTGTGCACCATCTTTTCTGAATTTGGGGGGGTTGACGAGTCTGATCGCGGCGAGTCAGTGCGAAGTTGGTGTGCAGAAAGATCTGGCCTGGGCCCGAGCCAAGTACGTACAGTAGAGATAGGTGATATCTGAGACGTGCAACTGCAAAGTGAATTCCGAAATGATGAGTTTTGTTATTTTGATGTCGAAGCTTTAATGGTGACGTTGTTGATTACCTATTGTGAGACCTTTTTAGCTGACATCATCATGCCGTCATTACGAAGCATCACAACATTCTCCTCCGCACTTGTTCATCACCGAGTACCGATGCTCGGGAAGCAGCAATTGCGAGATTCCGATACTTCGGCGCTGATTCCTCTTTATTTAAAACTGCAATATTCTGCAGGGAGGTGAGAAGTAATAAGAATCTTGAACCAAGCGATCGAGAAATGGTTAGATAAAGTAGGTTTTGAATGGCTTGTTTGTAGAGACTGGTTGCATTTTAAAGTTCAGTAGCAGAATTCTTGTCATCACAATATGCATTATAATAAGGAATTACGTCAAAAAGTCCCATATTCTCAAATCAATTCAGCCATATCAGCTCATGTGTATCGTGGGAACAAAATGCTTGAAGAAGAAAAGCTATGACTTTGCTGGGGCCATGGCTAGATGAGAGGAGAAGCAGAGCATACGAGGATGCTGTTAGACACTACGAATACAACGGAGATAAATAAATTGCAAGCAGTTCTTCACAAAAATTATTGTATATGCACAGCTAGTTGCATGTTCTCGAATTGGCTTACGAACTCACTGTGCGTCGTGTACCTCTCTCTTGAGTCTGATTTCTGCGCCAACGGCCAGCAACTAGTCGCTACGTATTCCACCGGGGCCACCTTCACGAATGATTGGGTTTTGAGCAACGGGAAATGTGGCAAGGTAACCAATTCGGCTCGGCAAGGGTTAGCTTATTTATGTACGAGCTAGTGATTCTCTTGAGTTTGTGATTTCGGGACAAAGCGTATATAGTAAAGCGAGGGAAATGCGAGAATATTCCTAGTATTGATAGATCGTTGAGCTCCCAGTTGCTAGTGCTGTATGAATTGTGCCCATATTCTCTTTTTCTAACATTCTGTCCTTCCAAAAACACAGTTTTCCAGAAGCAAACATCTCCATGCCTGGTCCATTTCAGCTATCGTTCACCAAATCTCATCACACTTGGTCTTGTCCTTTCCGCAGATGTACTGGAATGGAAGTTAGTCGACGATCCCCATGAATCGCTGTGATTTGTTTACCGTGTATGGACTGTCGGGGCAATCATAAAGGTGGCAAGGTCGTCCCATGCATTCCTTGGTACATGGAACAACCCGAAGGACAGTAGCTCCCTCGCAAAGGGTACTGTCACAGGCATTGACTGCGGTGACAGCAAGAGCGAAGAGGGCAGTGTAAATGACCTTCATGATTGTGAAGATAACTTGGTGGCAGTTTATGCGTTAAATAGGTGGTTTCAGTTCAGATTGTGAGTGATAGAGTGCTTGAAATGAAGCTATTCTTTTGAGAAGGTCATGCCTCTTTTATAGGCATTTGTAGCATCAAGAGACTGGGACTGAACAGCTGAGCATCTCGTCATACCTGATCAAAGCTTGAAAAGTTGATACGGAAGGGCCGATTTCGACGCCTGGCTGAGGAGATTCTTGCTTCATCGTGGGGTCGAAAGAAGGTGTAAGCAGCCATATGGATAATGATTCGTTTGAGTTAGTTAAGCTTGCTTCCCATGACATGAGGTCTGTAGATCCTCCTTGCATCGCTTTGTGAACCCATCCAATCAAGCCAACCTGTTACTAAGATGCTGACTGCACTTTCATTGCAGATCTTCATCCGAGACATCGCAAAGCGCCATGAATTTCTGCATATGGAAGTTCAAACAATTATATACTACATCACTGTCAGCTTACATGAAACATAATACGAATACTGCCTCACGAGGGATCTTAGGCTTATTTTTCTTACGCCGCAATGGAATGTTGCGTAATCAGGGAACCTAACTGATGGCGAATAACAATCGAGCATCCGATTTTGACATTGTCTTGATATGTTTGATTACAGCTTATTGGGTACCCCAGTGTTATTCTATGCTTGGGAAATAGAATCGAACTTGCTAACTTCCTGTAAGCAGCTGAAGGCTAAGACGTGGAGTGTCAGCTGCCTAAGAATTGGTATCCGGTTATAGCATAGCCTTGGGAAGTCAATTCTGGAACTTCCTAGATAGGGTAAACACAGTTCCACAAGCAACAACGTCACACAATTCACGGCATATGTGATAATAACGTGACATGATGCTGTGGAGGAGCGCTGCTTTTCTATGTGAAGGATGTCGATGAATCCGGAGTCAATATCTACAGAAGCTCCCTACTCTCCCTGACCAGCCGCTGAAGACTCAAAGCTGAACTTCAAGCCAGGTAGAATCTCAATGTTATCAGGGCTGTCTTTTTCACCAAGAAAAGTGAGATGAATGTACCTCTCCTGGTCCCGGCTGCTTTCCAGAGTAATTTCTTGCTTTCCCTTTGTAGAACCAGAGTGGACAACGAAAGGCCATGTGCCCTCCTCGGTAGTGGATCCATGAATCCCGTCGTAAACCTTAGCAATGACTTCACGCTCCTCCTTGGGCACTGAGATCGAAACCCCCGAGACCCCAACCGCACCAGAAGGATGCTTCGTGTAGGAAGGGTCTGATCCATCGTCTTCCTCGTAGGGTACTCGCAAGTGTCTCGGAGTGCGGTCGAGACACCAGAATGGTGCTTTGCCTGGGTGCACAGCCTTGCCGGAAGTAGTGTAGGCAGAAGCCACAGACCACTTCAATTCAACTCCATCAGGTCTGATACGACCGCCAGCGACTGGAGGCTGGTAAAAGATTCCAGAGTTCGCTTCCCAGACCCGCTGTTGGATCACTCCAAAGTCCTTTTCATTGGGGAGTGTATACGCCCAGTCGACAATAGTGTTTTCTTCCAGCTCTCCCCATCTATGTGTATTTCGCTTCTCTCGATCCAGGCCATCTTGAAAGGCAATGAGCTCGATATAGACACCATCAGAAAATTCGATCAGTTTGTTGACTGTCCGACCGTCTGCGTGGGCCCCACCATCAATCACTATGAGGACACTCTCCAATCGCTTTGGCAGTTCTTGTAGCGTCTGGTAAGACACCAAGATCACAATGTGATCTAAAATTGGTCGTAGGTTGTCACTTTCTGTCATTGTCAAGAGTAGAAGTGTGTTGAAAGATTGAAGCTGATGATGAGGGGCTTATCTGGGTGTCGTGGGCCTTTTGAAGTAGCCAATTGCGTGATCAGAACTAGTATTACGTCAACAAGTCAAAATTCACGACAGATGAGGTTGCTGATATTTCTGATAAAAACTGCTTCTGGGTAAAACTCGATCCCTTTTCACTTATGGCTCTGCCGACTTTCCTTCATAGGCCTCTCTGGATCTGTCGCAATCTTATCGAGTTCATCCATGTAATCCCACACGTCACGCCTTTTCCATCTAGCTGGCTGCCAGGCTTTGCCCTCTGGCTGAGGTCCATAGACACGCCAAACCACACCAATCGATTCGGCACCTCGCAGTTGCTCGTCGGTAAGCCTCTCAGAAGCAAGCTCGGCCCTGAACTCCTTCATTCTGGGAGCCCATTTCGTGTCCATCCATTTGAAAAACTCCTCTAGGCCCATCTGATGGCGACGGCCGTCTTCGAACTCTGTAAGGAGATTTTCGAATTGTCCAAGTAGGGAAGAGTCTTCCTCTTCAATTTCCTGGAACTCCTCTTCAGGCAATGCACCCGACTCGTTCCCAATGATAGAGCAGCAAACGTGACGCAGGCCCAGCATAGAAAACGTAAAGTATCGTATAATGGCCGCATGGATCCATTGATGCTCGCTAGTTTTGCCACAATTCGCTGACACCAAGTCGTATATTAAGCGTTCTGTTGCTTTAGAAAGACTTTGTTTGCCCGGGGACCATCTCCGCCGCCACACCTCTTCCAAAATCTTGACCAGGGGGGTGCATCCTCCTGGAGAGCACCAACAGCGACATCTATCAACAACGGCGGCTGAGAACACAATTTCAATGGCTGCAAGTGATAAGGGGCAGTCCAGGGGAATATTTAAGGAAATGCCGGCAAATCTTCCGTAGCTGGCCATAAAATAGTGGGCTGCCGTTGCTTCCAACTGCCGGTTGAGTAGCTTTCCAGAAGAAACTTTTGATGCCACCCTCATACCATGATCAATCATCCAGCAGAAGTATGACGATGGAAATAGATTGTCGATCAACATATCTGTGGCATACGTACCATCGTTTAGGCGAGAGGCTAAGCGGCACATGAGATCTGCCAAATCGTTATCCGAGTAAGAGAAACCCAGCTTGTGAGCAAACTCAGCGAGTTCGCCATTAAAAATAAGTAAGTAAATCGATTCGTAGCCGCATAATGGTCCAACAACTTCTTCGTACACACTAAGGTGTGTTGGTACAGAGCAACCTTGAGCTTCAAGCTGCTGTTGCACCCGTGCAACATTGTGGTCCAGGATTCTTGTCTGATATATCTCTAGACCATTTCTTTCAGCTGGTGACAGACATTGGTACGAGAGCTCCTTCAACCTTTCTCTCCTTTCTGCTAGACCCCGGATTAGGATTTTGCGGCCATCTAGACAGTTGTGATTTTTAGTCCATGATGGTCTTAGGGCGAGACGTAATGAGGTTGGAAAAAGCGCTGTATCTAAGCGAAGAAGCATTTTAAGTACTTCGCACCCTTTGCAATTTAATTCAGATGCCTTCCTATGCGTCCATGTTCCTTCTGTCACATAGTCGATGGGATAATAGCCTCTGTTGTCTCTTGCACGAAGAGCTTTAGTGTCTGCGTAGTGAAGCACCTCACTAATAATAGCAATATTCTGGGTTTCAATGGCAAGATGAACCGGGGACTGGCCGCAGTAATTGGTTTCTCTGATGTATGTTGGACATCTCTCCAACAACTGCTTGACTCCATTTCGATCGTATTTAAGAACAGCCTGGGTTAGGGGGCCAAATTCTAAATCTTCACAAATTATCGACCATACGTCTGGTCTTCAATCAGCTGAGACTCACTGTGACCTAATTGTTCAAAAGCTTGGAAGAGTCTGTACCCAGTACCGAGAGGGTATTCATTTCCATGCCATGATAGATTCGAATGAGGATGATGATGATGATGACCTATTGGTTCATTGCATTTCGACAAGATAGTCGTTGCAACTTGGCCAGGTCTCTTACAGGCGAAGAACCAGCTACTGATACCTATCAAAATAGGAATAGGTCTACTACATCAACAGTATCAATAAGGATTCTGCGTAGCTCGTAAGGTTGATCTGATTTAACTTACGCTACGATATTGCGTGAACAGGACGTTGGCTCAGCAATGACATTGAGCATCTGAAATATTTCTGCCATGTTATCGGCCATCGTGGAATCAAGGACGTAGGAATTCTATAGTACTTCAGGTTAGGCAGTAAAACAATATATGAATAACAAAAACCTACAGCATACTTGTCTAGCGCCCACCCAAGTATTGTTTCACCATCCTCATTGACATCAGTTGCCGAAGCATAAGAGTTGGCATAACAGTAGACAAGTCGTCTGAAGCATGAAGCTAATAGAATGTCCATTTCCTTGCGCGGTAATGAACTATAGCGAGCGATTGTGTCCACTAATTGGAATGCAGGAGATAGTCTCTCATTCACTGTCGCAACCCAGGCCACTGTTTGGCCAAATCCTAGTATGCCTGCACCTGTTGTAAATGATAAGGAGACTCTACTCGCACGACCCCGTGACTTTTGAATTGTTGGGATCAAGAGGCTCAAGGCTCGCTTAGTTCGGCGGGTTGATGCAGCAAGTTTTGACATTTGACATTCGGGCGCATGATGGTCTCTTGACCTAACTTCAGCTTCGAGAAGGAAAGGTCCCCAGTGGCGTTGACTATATCTTACTCGCTGCGTTTTACAGGAACAAAAAGCACTAAAAGTCATACTACCGCCACTCTGGTAACTGGTCTTTTGTATGCTGGGGATGAATTTATCGGGTGCTGAATTCTGCAGCAGATTGACGTCGATACTATTGCGAGAGGTGAGGTCTGACACCTGCTGGGCCATCGTTTTCAGCAAGAGTTTTGTGTCGCCGGAGTCTCGTGTAAGGAACAAAAGTTCTCTAATGTCTTGTTGAATCGTGCTAAGTCTGTCATCATGAACCTGAGATGTCTTATGTATTCGATCTAGAGTCGCTTTGTTCGTGCCCGATATTACGTGGAGGTCGGCCACGGCCTGGTGCATATTGTCGATAGAAGAGGCTGCTGCAAAACCAGTGTTGCTTCGCAAGTGTGGACATTAATTGATGACATCAGATTTAGAAGCACGAAGAATTGACATACAGCTGAAATACTTGCAACATGGTTTGCAGAGCACTGTTCGTACGCGAAAGATTGTCTTCCAACTTTTCCATAGTCTGCTTTTTGAAAGGGTACTTCAATTTGGCACAAAGCTCTTTCGCTCTGGAAGCGTTGCTGTTGGGTACAGATATTGTTGGGCCTCTGAGCTCTTTGACGACTGCCAACAGATTATCAACCGCGGAGACGCACGACGCTTTGCATGACTCGATCGCCCTCTTTGTCTCAGGATCGTCGGCAAGCGCGGTGGATATCGCAACATTAAGCGCATTGAGAGAGAGTTGGATGTTGGTTGCGTAACTGCGTGCCTCTTTTAGATCTTCTTCACGGCCGCCGATGTCATCGAGATATTGGGATACTTCCTTGAAGAGCTGCAAACCCAAAGAGACAGTGCCGAACGCGCTGCCAGCTATACCGAATGCTTCCGCCATGTTGGCGAGTTAGGTGCGTGCGTGCCAGCAAGATTGAAGTGCGGAGAAGGCAGAGGATGATGGACTCAATTACCCTGCCTGCGTGCTTGATGTAGAGCCTGAATCATACGGAGGCGTCACGTGGCTACTTGTCTGCTCTTCATTGGCGAGCCGCAATTCTCTTCCCAAGGTTGACACAAGGCTCTCAGCCCGTCATAAAGTGGTTCACCTGATGCTAAATTGGGCCTACCATGGCTTCTGTGGCTGAAACCAGGCATAATTGACACCCAATACAGCCTCTTATAAAGTAAGTAGCCTGATTGGATTTCGGAGTGTATAAGCGCTGAGAGGCACTTTCTGTTGGTCTTATCATCATTTAACCCCCAACATTCGTTAAGTGTCTGATTATCCTTATAACAGAGAAATTTTCATCATGAATTCGAGATGCAATTTGTGAAAGTGACAAGCGAGTTGCCCGATCTGGCAGCGAATGATTCAAAGTGCAGTTTTGAGTATCCAAAAAAATAAGGCGAAATGTAATCTGATCTATTGGCATTCAGCAGACGGGAATTAACTTCAGGGCTGACACTCTTCGATTATGCTTGTCCAATGGTCAATTAGGCAGATATGCAATGCCTCTTCTACTGAAACATCATGTTTCATCGTGGGTGAGATCTTCACCCACGTTCGGCGGATCTCGGACAGCTGTATCACATGGCCATTTTTGCCGCTTGATCTTCATCGTCCTGACCCCAAGTCCGATATGGAGTTCATGATGTTTCCAATCATCATGGTTTTTGATTTTATTCTTTTGAATATGATCTCACAAAAGGATAGGGTCTGATATTCAGTAGAACAATAAGCACCTTTGATCAATCTATACAAAACACTAAACAAAAACAATGACTGTGATGTGCTCACGTACTAACCTGCGGCGAGTATCCTGTTTGACTACTCTACTTACCGCAGGTCTATTTAAAACGAGTATCTAACCACCCAATTCCCAATGCCGGCATCCACAATAAGCGAGTGTTGTAAACGCCAATGACTCCGAAACTTCCCAAATAAACAATCACGATCTAGGCGGCGGGCATCACACGAGTTGAGGTCCACGCACCAACGCCGGTCAAATACTGGTCCATAGACTCCTTTCTGCGAGGCCTTATCACAGGCATTGGCCGATCTGGAACCTGCTTGGTGTGAGTCAGCGTGACAGAGCTGACTGAAGGTTCAACATGCATAGAACCAGATCGTCGGGGTTGTTGAGTAGTAACAGTGCCCATATTGCCTGATATGTATAAGAAGTAAGTGAAGAGTCAAGCCAGTGGTGCATCCTCGATCACTGACCGTTGTATTCTATGAGTGTAGTATAAGGGCGCTTGCCATAAGAAGTCATCGTGAAAGTAAATCGAGTAGGGCGCAAGATGCAAACTTCAGCTATCAGATAATTCTGAAGAATTTGAAAATAGTCTTTTGAAGCGCGAAGAATTCGAAGATGGTCATTTTTGCTACTGAACTGTTAAGGTGACAGTCAGTGGAGAACGAAGCCATTTTATAACCAGATTACCCGACTGCACAATGATAACTCTCTTTCCGCATTCCACGATAATCTCATTCCTCAACCCCTCATGAAGGGGCTTTGCTTGGGGCACATGACATGTACACGTGAGATAATAAGTGCGAAAACTACCGGCGGTTGTGAGGGATCATCCCCTTCCAGAAAGTCAATAGAGTTTGACGGGACCGAAGGGGGCGAATTTCAATATCAAATGTGCGATCGTCGTTATTTGATATGATGAGATATCGGACCGCGCTCGGGGACAACTCAGCAAGCCCGGCGCTAACAACAACAGTGCCAGCTCACAGTTTAGGGCTGAAAACGGTCCGCCTTGTTTTAAGCTTAGATTGATTGGAGAGCGTTTCTGATCTAAAATGCAATGATGGTTTGACCATCGAAAAGAGGAAATCCTGTGCAATCTTGGGATCTGAGATTTGCTGTCTTTGTGAATACGAAAATGCGAAAAGAGACAACGCAGAGGCCCAAAGGAGAAGGTAACACGCAACGACACTTTAACCCATGTTTTTCTACTTCGAAAGCGGTTTCGAGGCTGTCGGCAGTGAGATAAAACTACTGGTGTTGGTTATTTGCACTTTAAGCAACCCTCATGTCCTGATTTGGAAGTTCGTGAACAAAGCTAATGGGCGATACTCAGAGGAAGCTAAAAGATGACGAAATCAAACATGCAGCATGACTACGCCTTTTAGCATGTAATCGAGCGGGGTCAACTTGCATTTTATTCCTTTGGTCCGAGAAGTAGCTTATGTGAATGATGCCAACGCATCAAGTACCGCGGCTATTTTTTTGCTGGGCTTGGGAGGCATCTAGTGCAGATCGCAAGATTGACGAGGTTCAGAACCCCATGCGCCCTGACCCAAGGATCTGTCACCGATGACGATGTTTCCTCCAACGTTTTGAACCGTCATGCAGCACGTGGACAGAGCGACGATCAAATTACAGAAATAGGTCGCGTGACCAGATTGAAGCTGATTGAGAGAAGTGGCGAGGAGGAAACAACGAACTGTGCCGATCATAGGCTATTGAGCTATTACCATGACGCTCGGTTCCGGATGTCGCATGTGGCATTATGAAGCTTTTACTGTGAGTATACAAAGCGCTGATCGAGACGCCGAAAATATTGTATTGATGTTGAATCATAAATTTGAGAAGCTAATCCTCTCTTGACTTGACTATCTCGACTGAACTTCTCCAGTCGACCTTGATCATATAGATGACTTCTATAAGAGCAATGATAGCAGAGCCACCTATCATTCCAGACCAAACACCATTCAAGCCCAGATCCAAAGGTCCTAACTCCAACCAGACCGCAATAGGAACAGCAGCAAAGTAGTTGACGAAGAACACAACCCAGGCAGACACAGATTGTTTGGCCAAACCACGGAGAACACCATTGCATCCGCAGACAATCGAATCGACAACCTGAAAGCCCGCCACGGCAAGCATAGTATTCGTAACAATTCTCCGAACTTCCTCATCGCTCGCGTAGAAAGGCCCAATGTAATTCCTCAACAAGAACAAAACAGCACCATCAAAGAACCCCAGACCAACAAACATGATCCCATAAAGAATCGTGATCCGTCTCGCGGCAGTGACATGTCCACCGCCGATCAAATGCCCAATCCTCGTACTAACAGCAACACCAAGCGAAAACGGAATATGCCACATCACAATCGATGTAGTAGTCAAAATCGTCTGCGCAGCGAGATGAATCGTGCTCACATATGACGTGCTAACGGTGATGATCTCAAACGCAGCCCACTCCGCCAACGTGACAGCCGATCCGGCGGCAGATAGCCGAACCATGGGTCCCCAGCCCTGCAGGGCACGACGCGTAAAGCCGGGCCAGCATTCGTGGGTTGACCTTTTGAAGAAGATGCAGATTAGGAGGAGGGTTGGGCGGAGGGTGTTGGCTACTGCTGCGCCGAGAGCGGCGCCTTCGAGGCCGAGGTTGAGTTTGAACGCGAAGAGCCAGCTGAGGAGGGCGTTGATAGGGGCGCATATGATCAAGACTGCCATGCCAGTGTTGAAGTCGCCTTGGGCTTGGAGGAAGCGCTTTAAGGCTTCGAAGGAGGCATAGCCGGGGATACCTAGTATGCTGACTCGGAGGAATGAACCCGCTTTGACGGCGAGGTCTTGTTGCTTGAGGATAAGCGTCAAGAATGCGGGAGAACATACCCAAACTGCAGCAACAGGGATAGTAACAACCGTCATGAGAAGAAGCATACGCTGGACATGCAAGCCAACGCCTGTCTTGTTTCCAGCCCCATACGCCTGCGCGCAGAGGGTGTCGAGAGCCGTTGCCATTCCTTCGTAGAGGGCAAGACCAGCGATGTTCATGGTCGTTACACCAATTGCGGCTGCTGCCAAGTCATCGGGGCTAAGATGGCCTGCAGCTGTTGTTGTGATAACGCTGAATGAATATTGAAGTAGATATGTTGCTACCAGAGGGGCTGTATAGCGTGTTATGAGCGACAGCTCAGACCACCAATCGTTCACTGGCCATTTTGAGACAGATCTTTGTTCATTGTTCTGCAGCAATGGTGCCGCTTCATTACGAGCCTCTTCGTCGTGAGAAGTCATCATCAATTGATCATAAATATTTTGGTTGAAGAAGTTTTGTTCGAGATGCCTGACGCGGTGAGGTTTACATACCGTGCTGTTGTTTTGACTCACAGTCCAGATATGGCAGCTGGTTAACGAAGCTTATCCGATCCCGGGGAAGAAGGATGACTCTAACAATTTTGAGTCAGCAACGCATGCAAATCGTTTGCGACAGCGTTCACAAACATTACGCATAAACACAATTGCATCTGTGGCCACGAGTTTACATTTACAAATAATGCTCCCACAACCTCCAATTTGCAGAATTCGTCCCCTCCATTCGCATGTCTTGCCACGAAAAGCATAGCGAAGAGGAGCCATGAGCAAGGAACAGGGATAACCAACATCTCTTTCGTTACGTACTACGGAGTAATTCATGCTCTGACCAGCCCCAACTGACCATTTGAAGAATGGATTACAGTGGCTCAACAAGTGGCATCAGTGGATAACCCTCTAAAACCCCCACTCGCGGCACCTGAAGGTATCGCGCAAAGTGGACGATCATATACGAGCACCGAAAATGGCGCTCGGCAGTTTAATTTGGTTGAACTCTATCAACACGTTGTAACCAAGTTTCCGACGATGTCACACAACTAATTTCACAAATGCTTGACCGCCAGATAAAGGGAAAAGAGAATTCTCACAATGTCAGCACCATATCACAGTGGCTAAGACATTGATCATTAGTTCAAGCCACGGTAAACCTCTCGGGGACCAGGGACCGGGCCGTAAGTCTGTTCCTTTTAATCCGCTACAGAGCCTAGCGGACCGGAGATAACCTTGGCGTTAATTCCCAACTAGCGAGTCGCAAGCCACAACGGAGATATCAGACCGCCCCTGGATCCATTTTATCTTCAGCGACTGGGGGATTTGCCGGGTGCAGCCGCTTGAATTTTCTCGGTGGTTTTGCTTTGTTCGACACTTGTTCCAACCGAAGACACTAGCGAATCCTGCGGCGGAAGGGAACTGAAGAAGTTCAGATCTACCGTCTTGCGCCCGCGGTGCGGCTGAGGCATGGAGGAGCTAATTCTCCGACGTTTGAGCCTTGTAAATCATAAGAGACACATTAAAGCAAGGAATAATGCCATTGTTATCACTGACACTAACTCATTTACATTCGATATGCACCTTCGCTAGATCCCATAGAATCCGCCCGCGAAGCATGTCTGTCATCGTAAGATACCTCAAAGTCCCGATTCACCATGACACCCTCCGTCAAATTCCTCACACTATCGCTTCCGCTCGCTATTTCCGTTCGTACCTCTCCCATAACGTCCCTTCGCCACATTGGTTGATCGTTATGTCTCGGTTTTGAATGTCTTCGTAGAGCGCTGCCTAAACCACTGCCTTGTTTCGAGGTCTGTTTTGTCCGTGAATCGGAGAGGGCTGTCATTTCGAGACCCGTTCCGTTGCCACTGTCTTTAAGTTCGTAGGGAGTGTTTATGGCTGCGACGGCTGTGGAACCGAGTAGACTGTCGATTACACCTTTGAGACTGGGGATGCAGACTGTGATTACTGAGAGACCGAGTGCAATTTGGCCCCAGATCATCATTGAGACAGCTTGCCAAGTGATGTCGTCCGAATTGTTAAACATGTATCGTGCGTGGACGAGCTCGGGTATCGTGATGATCGGGACGATGAGTCGCGTGCCGAATAACGCCATGACGATGATCTTTCTTCGTATCGAGGTCTGGACTTCCCACATCATTGCGACCGGGAGAATGCACAGAGCAATATCTGTCAAGATGATCATGATACTGTTGTACAGAAAGATCGGTCCTTGATTCGGACACTGCGCTTCGTTCTCAGCAAGCCATGGCTCCGGCATTGGGCATTGGAAAGCGGTCGCAAATACGCCAGAGATGGCCCATGCAATGACAACTCCACCAAGGATCATGTTCGCAGTATTTAGTCCACCTTGTCGATCGATTTGTCGAATGAGAAGGCCAAGTGAGACCTTTGTCGTCGCATGGACAAGAATTCCCAAGATTCGCGATGCATACATCAGCTACCACACATTAGCAGGATCCATACAAACCAGAAATAGACTTACTTTGATGAAGCGACCAAAGTACTCCACGGAAAGAGCATCACGGTGCTCACCGAGTCCATGACTGCAGGCAGCAACAACACACGCCGTTTGTATAAAGTACAACAACGCAGCAATCAACAGCCCCACGTCAAAATCTTTCATAGAAGTAATGTTCAATCGAATGATCAACTTCCCAATGATGCCGAGAAGCGCATAGGTAAAGAAAATAACAGCAGTGATGACAACAAGCGCAGCATGGTTACTCTCCGTCAACGGGTAAAACGGCGGAGCCGCTTGCGATACTTGGTCCATCGTCTGCGTAGTATTCGATATCCTTCGGAGGGTTGAGCGGCCTTTAAACAAGGGACAAACTTGTTGGCCTTTACGCTACAGCAAGGGCGGACCGAGCAGACGGGGAGAGGGTAGCATTCGGAGCTGTCAAATAAATAGAGTTGCATTGGGGGAGGTGACAGCATGAATGTGAATGACCAGGTAATTAAATTAAGACATACATACACGACGAACCATGAATGGAACGCCAGGATTGCATGATCTTACCGTGTGTTGCCTTTGTTCAGCTGCAGTAATAATCTATCCGAGTCGTTGGAGTCAGCGGCTTGCTATGCGGTCCTCTCATGTTCTAGGTACTGGGATATCTACTCTATCTCGGACCACTGGCTGACGGACTGGGCACCCACGTTTCAAGCGTTCCAATTACTGTCCACTTTTGTGCGTCTCCCAGTGGAGATTTATTGTTTTGTGATGTGGCCTATGAGAAGATGAGTGTCTCGTCGATCTCTGCAGGTTGGTGATGACAATCACAATCCCTGCTTCTCGCTCAGCAAGATATGCGGAGTAGTAAGCCAAGCATGCAACCTCTCTTTCCTCTTCTCTTCACTCATTACTGATCGTAAAGAAAAGAGCAAAGAGAACACGAAAACATGATATCTATTGTGGCTGTTGGTAGATAAAGCCCTGTCCCTGCTAGCATTATTCCTTCGAGTCCACTTGGCGTTACATCTCAAGCGGTTCCACGAGATATTTCCCAATGAGAAATGATCTGCGACGCCACAATCCTTCAGACAAAACCGTTCGATTTCATTGCCGGCCTTATTCGCGGCAATCTCGCCTCGCCTAACTCTCCTCCATCCGTTGAGGATCTGTCGCTCAACTTTGATCCCAGAGATTCTTTACTTGTTTCAGGCAATAGTTCGTTCGCATTTCCCCGACAGGTCCCACTTTGTAGGTAATCCGTTGCTGGCACTTTTATACCTGAGGATCTGCTTGCACCCAAGCCCAGAAATCTGTTGGTTCGTGTTCCTGCATTCAATATCGCTCGCATAACCTGGGTTCACGATGTCGCACGGTAGTAACAGCATTGAGTTGGAAGCCTCGGGCAAACAGCAGCCTGTTCCTGTGAGCGTTGACGCTTCGGCTAGGCCGCCTGAGGACTCCAACATCTACAATGTCACCCGAACGCGAAAGGTGTTTTCTTTTTCGCAGCTTTTTGCTTTTTCGTTGACGTACATGGCATTATGGGAGGGTATGTGCTCGTAAGTTACTCTTCCTCTATGTCACGGTCGGAAAGATGCTGATGTTGATAGAAATATGTACTTTGCCCTCTTCAATGGCGGACCGCAAACTTTCCTGTTTAGCTTCATCATCGTCTTCTGCGGCGCCATTTCCCAGGCTGCATCGTTGGGAGAGATGGCTTCGATCCAGCCTGTCGCGGGCGCACAGTACCACTGGACATTTTACATGGCTCCTCAATCGGTGAAGCGATTCGCGACTTGGATCCAAGGCTGGTCGACATGGTTCGGCTACGTGTCGCTGTTGGCCGCTATCGCGAACGTAACTATCATCCTACTCGAGTCGATGATCAGCATCAATCATCCCGGTTATGTCGCTGGTGGCTGGCATACCTCCGTTCTTGTCATCGCCATGTGCTTAGTCCACGGGTTGATGAACGTCTACGCCTTCAAGCTCATTCCATGGGTAGAGCTTGTTGCCGGTGTGCTTCACGTTTGTCTCTTCGTCATTTTTGTCGTTGTGCTAGTCGTGATGGGCCCTCGGAACCCTTCGTCCTTCTGGCTGCAGCGCAACATCTCGTCTGGTTGGGACAATGAGTACATCGCATGGAACCTGGGCATGCTGACCTGCGTCTGGAGCTTTACCGGTAAGTAACTATAAGAGTTCGCATCATGACCTCGCTGACTGTTTCAGGCTTTGACAGTGCTATCCATATGTCCGAAGAGACCCGAAAGGCCAAGTCTGCCGTCCCTCGCGCCATGTTCTGGTCCATCTTCATGAACGGCGTCCTCGGCTTCATCATGGTCAATGTTCTCATCTCCGCCATGGGCTCCGTCGAAGACATGCTTGAGCAACCTAGTCAGATCCAGGCCATCCTCCTCAACGTGACTGGCTCCAACAAGGCCACCACTGCAATGATCGCTGGTCTCTTCATCATCTCGTTCAGTGTCAACCTTGCCAACATTGCTTCCGTCTCCCGTCTGACGTGGGCTTGGTCCCGTGATGGTGGTATGCCTGCTTACTTTGCCTATGTCAGTCCTACCCATCGCGTGCCTACACGCTCCATCATCCTCACGGTCTTCCTTGTCTGCGCTCTGAACCTCCTCAACATTGGCAACACCTCCTATGTTGCTTTCGGTGCCATTACATCGCTCTCGTCCTTGGCTCTGTACCTCAGCTACGCTATCGCCATTGCAAGCATCATCTATGTTCGCCTTTCAGGGTCTTCTATCAAACTTGGCGAATGGAACCTTGGTCGCTTCGGTCTTCCCGTTAATGTCTTTGCTCTGGTTTACACACTATATGTCATTATCTTCCTCCCCTTTCCATCAACTCTCCCAGTCACTGGTGAGAACATGAACTACTGCGGCCCAGTCATGGTCGCCGTCCTAGCTATTGCTGTTGGGTTGTGGCTTACACATGCTAGAAAGCATTGGAATGGCCCCAACTTGACCATTCTTGACTTTGTCGTTGCCAACGCATCCGAATGATTATGTTGCCGAACGCTCGAACATTGCAATACATATAAAATAGACCTTCTTTGACCAAATTTGCTTTCACGACGCTGACTGGCTTTCATTGAGTTCTTGGATGCCACCTAAGGGGAACAGAAAACATAGGACCTTGATCTAAAGTTAAATAAAATTTCGATAACTTGATATAAATTTAGGATATCTTTATTAAATATGGGACATCTTTTGTTTAGTTTAGTTTAATACCTTATAAGAAGATCTAATATTTTCTGGCATCCTACGGCCTAGGCTCTCAATAGCCGGGTGAGCCCATTGCTAACATGGATCCCCTTGAACCGGAGCTGGTTCAGGGTTTTCATGGGAGTAGCTGCTTTGTCGTGATAATATTCTAGGGACTTTTTACTTGGTTTCGCCACGCCACACGAATGACGTCCGAAATTGCCTCTTTGTTTTCCCCTACTTTGTTGCCTGCCCTAGCCACTTAGAAAAGAAAGCACAAGGAACTAAGAAGTGAATTTGACTTTTCCAGCATGGCGTCTCGCAATCCCGCACAATATGGTCGATTCGGCCATCCTATGCCACTGGGCTCCGATCAAGAAATCACCAGCACGCCGCCAGTGCCACCCAGTGAAGAAGCGACGGGGCTATTCCATAGTCTCCCAAGCTCGCCACTCCTGGTTGCATGCTCAAGTACCATAGCCTGTTCTCACCACAATTACTCTGGGTTTCCAGAGGAAAAGAGGCTAGCAGTTACTACAGGCCACGCCATATAATAACCATGGAATGAGCCGAACAGCCAGCTCCAAATCGGTATCATAAACGCTCTGGACAACTTGAACTGGACAGCCATTAATATCCTGAAGGTTCTATTTAACGACGCCCTCGCCGTGGAGAAAGTGGCAGGCCAAGTCACGATGCCTATTACTATCCCAGAAAACTCAACCACGTTCAACCAAAGGTACGAGGCGGTTTGTGCATGCGAGTCAATCCTCGATAATATGGTCTATGGGATGTAGAAGTTGAAATGAAAGAGGGCAAGCTCTTTAGAGCTATATCGGCCTCTCTCAGTCCCCCAGAAGGAGAACAGGAACAGCAGCCGCTCCCACTCCACAACGGGCGACTTCTCCCTGGCCCGTTGACCAGTGCGGCGGGTTACAAGTAGGTGTAGATTCCATTTCACAGAGTACATTGGTACCAATATCGCCGCACTTGACAACCGGAAACAAGAAGGCACCAAGGGCTTATACCTTCCCGATAGTCAAGATGCCACAACCACATATACCCTGATGTGTCGGCATGTGGTATACAGCAAAGAACAGCCTCTCGACAACTCCTGAGTTAGAAAAGAATCACCGGATATCACACAGCCTGGACAGATCACCTTCGATGAAACGCAAAAGGCTTTTCAAAACGAAGATAAAGAGCTTTACAGGGTGATACATAGTCCTCGCGGGGGAGACCTCCAGAAAGAAACCTACTTGGAGCAACAGCAACTGAACAAAGTCAGCTTCACTAAATTTCAAGCCTACAAACCCCTTTTTGAGGATCAATCTGCCGATCAGAAGTTTTCTGCTTTCGGTCATGTTGAGTTTTCACCACCATTTAGGGTCTCAGAGGGGAGGTCAATGGACTGGGCGCTTATCAAACTAGCTAAAGATAAACATACAACTGAACTATCCCAACTTAGGGACAAACTGCCAGTAACAGGACTATTCGGGGAGATACTCGAGTCTAAGGGGGTGTATGACATTATCGGTTTTCGACTTCAGTCTGAAGTCACTATTGGGCCACATGTTATGTCCCTGAAAGACTTGGAAGCCGTAATCCAAGCCTGAGATCCACCCCGAGGTTTAATTGGGATGATACATGGAGGAAAGTCCGGATTCAGTATCGGAAGTATAGACGAAATCAGATTTGTCGTCCGCAAGTCTATTGACGGCGTGCTTTTCACTTCTCAGGAATGGTGCACCATAGGACTTGATGGTAGCGCATTTTTCAAATGTGGCGACTCTGGGTCCCTTATATTCGACATCCATGGTCGCGTTATGCCGTTATTGACGAGCGGTGTTAGGAGGGATGGTTCGAGGATCACCACGGGGTAGAAATGGCGTATGATACTCCTGTTAAATCGGTTCTGCAGGATATGCGAAGCTATGTCTATAAGCTCGACCTGGCCTGTTGAGGCGCTTGGGAGGCAAAGAGGACTAGGAAATGATTTCGCAAACTATTGGAAGCCTTTTTCTTTTTATAAGTTATTTAAGAACTTTTTGATACCAAGATGCTGAGATACAGGGTAGCTAGCTGACAGGC